GTAAATAAATATGAAACATGAGCAGGATCAACCCAAGGGGGAATCTCATCAATACCACTTTTAAATCGAGTTGATTACGTGCAATCTGTTCTCTAAAAAGGGAGCAATGGAAAGCATGGAGCGATTTAGAACGTTTACATGAACAACTAAATTGCAAGCATTGTATTGACGACGAGTGGCATCTCTCTACCATTTGCGCACGCGACATAGTATATTTAAGGCTAGAAAGATCTGGAATTATGACAAAGCATTGTAGTCAAAAGCTTTTTTTTTCATATTGACGTGTAAGAACTTCTAAATAGCCGCCCAGCATTGGCGCAAAGTGGGCTGGAAATCCAGTTCACAGCCAAGGCGCACATTGACCCACGTTTACGTTTGTATTTTGGCCGCCAGAAAAAGAAGAAAAATATATTTTTAAATTGATTCAACAACTATTCGCGGAACCATTAGGGCAAAAGTATGAGCTACGACGTATGTTTGTGAATGCGCGATGCTGTAGTATGGTCAAAAACGTGTTTTTCTACTTTTACATTGTGACGTCACGGACTCGGAGGATTTGATTCGAGTCCATGACCTATTACTCGGATTCGTCGAATCTCTGTAATGCCGGACTCGTCCCATCTCTACCGTGTAGTCGTTTACGTTTACTGTGGTTTTATTGCGGTCGGCGGTCGTATTATTTGAAAACTGAAGTTGGCGCAGTGGAGTTGAATTTTACACGTTAAAAGCACCCATGATAGCGCTTCGTGGTAGGCATAGTCATGACACATTCCAAATTGTGACATGGTGTATTTATACGTTTATTAACAGCCTCCCCCTCGTATGCGTCAGTTGCCGACATCTCATAGTGTAAGAAAGTTGCCACGAACTTTTCGTCAGTTCGCATGCCACCCCTCAGTTCACCATATCGATCTGCGTTCAAGGAAAACGACTTTGTCAGCTGGATTAAAAACTTTATTTTATATCTGGCATCGTTGTTCTGAAAGGTATACGGTACTTGCGCTCCACCATATTATTCTTATGTTGAGTTCACTTCTGAAAGTTCTGATTAAATATGGCGATGTCGGCTATTTGATTATATGTGAAGTTGCCGTCTATACTTGGACAGCATTTGTGAACTATTACTTTTTTCTTCAAATATACTTAAGTTTTAATGAGTGATATTTTACCCACAATTTTGCTTTTTTCGCTCTATGTAATTCTTTTTTAATATTTCATATGACTTTACATACAATTCCTTGGCATTCTTCGCTATTGTTCTATCATGAAATGGACTTTGAGTATTCGAATCGGGATTTTGATATTTAAGTAACTTAAGTATTTAAATATTCTATTGCACAATTAATCTCAATTTCCATTAATTCTTTAGTAAACATATAAATTTTGTTATATTTAGTATATGTTGGTTATGCTGAACTGCATTGAAAATCTCATTACGAGTCTGACATTTTGAAACGGGAATTTCCACACTGTGGCCAGCTGTCTTCAAAATTGCATTCTCAAATTGAATCTGAAAGAAATGGCCTATTAATTTCTCACATATAAGAATTGAACGAGGGATGGGCCAGCAATGAAACATGACAAATATTGTACTGTCTAATTATCAAAACGCAAGTCACAATACCCTGGTAAGAAGCACAAAACGGCTTCTGAAATTGCAAATTTATCAAAGGCTATTTTTTACATAAACTAGCTTTTTGAGTTTGACTACTCACTATAAAATAGGTTGGTTTTGTTGTTGGCTGTGTTAAGCAAATTGACTCGATTTTCCACCTATGGACCATGAATCAGTATTTTTTCCCACATGAATAATCATACTATATCTAAAGACATATTTTACAGTGTGTAAAAGCATTTTTCCATATATACATACTGTTCCCGCACTTGACCAACAGATGTTGGACAATTAGTATACTAAGGTGTGAGTGGCCATACCAAACACGGCAGTTACGTATTTGAGCCATTACCCTTGGGATGTTGTTAGCAAGAAAAGAGGGAAACATTCCCTATTAGCGGCAGCTGACCTTCCGAGCAGCAGTCTATTCATCGTCTATTATGTTTACTATCTAACCTGGTATTTGACTTGTGGAATATATTTGGAAATCGACATCTGTGAATTTCTGGGGATTAGTTTTAATAAAAAGTTGAGAATGAGTTATACAAATAAAACTGCTCCTCCGCTCATCATACATGAGAGACAAAGAAGTCGATCTAGAGTATTTGTGAGTATAATAATAATATGTTTTATGAATTTCACTAGTTTTGGAAAATATATTTTTTGACAAGTTGACATAAATCATTATATTATTGCTGAGAATTGTCATTTTTTACTATTAAAATGGTAAATTGTATTTGAATTGTTTTAAATTACCTTTCTTTGATTAAAAAAGAAAATTTGCTTGCTCACTCATAAACTCACTCTTGTTCTAAAAAAGGTGTTATTGTTGAATTTGTCTGAAAGCTTTCATCTTCAAACTGCAATGCATTACATGAAAAAGATCAATAAGAACATTTAGGAATATTCTTGTTCTGAAAGTACTTACTAATGATTGGAGTCATGCATTAGAAAAATTAATTTGCTTCGATTGAATGGAATGTTAAAAGGGATTAAATAAGCTTAGGTATATATATAAGATTTCTTTATGTCTCAGTATGCAAGTTATTTTTCTTTATCTGAAGAGCTAATCTGATAGAAGTCTATTGCAAATTGTCTCATATTGTCATTTTACTGAGTGGGCCAAAAGTGTTACCCAGCTATGGGCCTACCCTGTTAATTGCATTGTCATATCTGTGTCCTTATGGATCACAGGTTTAAACTTTATGTGTAATGATTTGCTGCAATGTAGATCTTTGTTTTAATCTAATACACAAGACTGTTGATCTGCTTTGCCCACCAAGCCATTCAGTCTGGCTTTTATCAACACTCAGATTTTTTTCCCATCAAGCATAAAATCCTAATCCCGACAGTTTATGCCTCAACTTATGTCAATTTTTTTGTGTGGCCCAGCTAGATGTCTGAAGTTGGTTATACAGCCCACCAACAAAAAATGTTGCAAACACCGGAACTTTTTGGCTATTCCTATACCCGACACTGGCTGATACGTAGTCTAGAACTGGGGCACTTAACTCATTCCCCACCTCACTCGGGGATGTAATAAATTAGGTAGGCAACAGTGAAATGCTTCACGATATTTCAAAAATAGGTTAGCTCTTTACATATCAGAGGCAGCTTTTGTAGAGCCTTGTTCAAAGGGTGTGAATATGCTGTATAGAAAAATTGATATTGATTTGAATCGAATATACAATTCATTTTGAACACAGTTTTTTTAAACCCAGGGCATTCCATTTCTTTTTACTTTTGGGGTGTAGGCCTATCGATAATTATTCATATTAAAACACCTTTCTTGTTGTGGACTTGTGAAAAAAAGCAATTGATTATTGTTATTAACTATAGATTATTTAATTTGAAAATTTAGTCTAATATGAAGCCAGGTACGATAATTTTTAATCTTTATGATTATGACAGTTGAATCATCATTGTTATTTGTAATAATAACTCATAATATAAATCAATGCTTGATAATTTAATAGTTCATAATATCAATAAGTGTTGGCCTTTGTATTAAGATGACTTCGTAAATGATTTTATCATTTTTACTTTAATAATATTGTGTTAGTTTTTGAACGAGTCTAGTAAATATGACGGTGTTTTTTAATCTCAAGTACAGATACCATTATAAGAGAAAGTTTTGTTTATATTGGGCGACCCAAAATAAAGAACCCAGATCATTTCATGTTCTCGAGAGAACTTTTGTGCAGTGCCCCCAAAAAATTTGAAACTCTTGGGTATAATAATACGCAAAAAGAAGTTCAATTGTTAATAGAAGTAATAAATTTCATGGGTCCTGTTTTTCCTAGGCTCACTGTAATTTCTGTTAATGAATAATTTTTATGAAAATAATACTTCAGCAAATCATTGGTATATTCCGGATTTTTCAATTTTTTTTTTAATAAATTTTGACTTGTGTGGAAAGAAATTCTTTGAGAAGAAATTTTAATTTGAATATCTGTACTTCAAAAACTACCATTTTATGTAATATTATTGTACCGGTAGTTAAGATTTTGTGGTTTTATGGAATGGGGTAGCATCAGTCTGCTAGCTTCTATGTACATTGGGCAATATGGGCCAATCATACGTTCAACCACAGACGCAGAAGGTAAAATTTCCATTGACTGAAAAAATATATTTATTATGAAAAGTTCAGTTCTCTGCATTTTATTTTGTGAGCTGAGTTTATTTTATCAGAGTTCAAATGAGGATTAATATATTGCTTAACTAGGGTTAATGAAAAAAAAATTTCTCATTATTATCAGTCAAATATGTTTTTTTGTTGTTGTTTATTCTTCCGTTAAAATACCCAAGATGCCAGTTTATTGTGTTTTTTGCAAGTTGCAACTTGCAATCATCATTATATATATTGTTTGTGTAATAATGTAGATTGATTTTAATTAGAATTTTTTTACAAATATTGCAAAATTAACAACGCCGTGGTCTAGTGGTTACAACATTGGACTCAACTATGATTTTGATTTCAATAGAAGTTAGAAACACCCTCGTCTTGCTGGTTTGAATCCTGCGGGAATAATTATGTGCAAGAGGTTCCCTGGACTTCTCGCCAACGTAGTGTAATTTGCATAACCACAGATTGGTTATGGCTTTTTCCATCATCAATGCCATGTATCTGAAACGAATAACTGGTTGACTATTTCCATACTCAATAGGTAGGGCTGTGAAGTTGGGGAAAATTTACAAACGGTTCCGACTTCGGCTTAAGAAAAATTTTGGCTCCAACTCATTATTTGTAGTATGAAATTCCAACTCCTTAATGATCTTAAAATTCGACTCCAACTCTACAGCCCTGTCGATAGCATGATCGGCTTATCAGCTTACTTCTCCATGATTAATGTTAAATATCCGTGTTAATTTTTTTTTGTTGCAGGGCTCAGCAGACTCTTACAACAGTCGGCCCTCAGATTCAGACATATCTTTGGAGGAAGATAAAGAAGCACTGAAGCGTGAAACCGAACGACAGGCTCTTGCTCAACTTGAAAAAGCCGAGGTAATGACATAAATACTTAGAACCAGTGATAAATATACATTGGATAAAATTTCTTAGTAAAACGCCATTGTATAATTATTTTTTAATGAATCCCCCTAACTAACTAGCAAGCTTACTCTCATGTGTTTTTATTTTTAGGAAGTGGTATTTATAAATTTCCTAAAATAAACCTATTCACTGAAGCAGTATTGAATTCCCGATTTGTCAACTATTTTTATATATCCCCGATTGTTAGATTTGTTATACAATGTACAAAAGACATATACACAGGACGTAAATTCAGGAAAGTTTCCCAAACTAAAGCCTAAAGGTTGAAAACAGGAGACATAGCATATATATATATACTATATGGACTATCTTACCTTGTGATATAGAATATAAATTAAAAACACAGCGAGATGCTCTCTAATTGGGCTTTGTATCTTTGTGATAGCACATGATTGTAACTTATAAGCTTGGGAGCACTGTCACTTACTTTTGTTCAAGAATAAAACGTACTATTTTAAATTATTTATTCACTTATACAACTTATTTACTTTTTTAACCTGTACTATTTCTTTAGACAAAACAAGTAGCATTCGCTGTGCGCACAAATATTGCATACAATTGCTCAGCTGATGATGATTCCCCAGTGCAAGGAAAAGCCGTTTCTTTCGACGCTAAGGATTTTCTACACATTAAAGAGGTGATAATAATATTATTATAAACTATACTCCGTTCATATATAAACCGACACCTTCCATGATTAAGTGTGGAGGTCGAGGGTTAGTCTAAGTGGATCCATGGCCTTAGCACTGAACACAATGCTACATTTTGTATTTACCTAACAAAGCTTTTCTATTGTTTTTTTAATGTTGAGATCATGCAAATAGAATCAATTTCTACTACTATTATCAGACTCGAAGTTTGATAAATTCTTCTTGTCATTGGTGTTGGAAAAAAATTGTTTTTCTCTGCGACGTAAACTAATTGATTTCAATTTGTTAGTAATCAAAAATGGAAGAAGTCACTAAAAAGTTTTTAATTCGAATTCGAATATATAAAATTATACATTATAAATGAACTCTGGAAACCATTTTTTTAAATTATAGTCATTCACGATTTTGTGAAATATCTTCTAAACAAGAGAGCAATGCTAAAATATATTGGACTTGGACGTCCAATCACTAACTGTAGTTCAAGTAGCCTATTCAACTCTTATTAAAATCCACTATCTGATCATTCTAATGTTTCAAATCAATATTGCAAATCAATTCCCATTATTGTAGCAATTCTTGTATGTATTGCAGCTTACATACCATGCCAGCTTTGTCATAAAGATGTCAACTTATCTGATATAATACCACACAGTGGTGCTCATTTTTCGTAAATAGTATAGGGAGGAATATGGAGCCATAAGACTTCAGTGAAAGCTTGGAAAAACCTAGCAGGTTCAACCGTCCTTCAAGGCTACAAATTTCAAAACGATTAGTCCATTAGATTCGGAGGAAAAGTGATTTTTTCAACAATTCATGTTACCATAATAACAATTTAAAGAACAAATCCATATGCACACTTTGTGTCCTTAGTTCTTCTTATTTTAAATCTTACACATAATTCATATTAACAACTATATTTTCTTATTATAGAGATACAACAACGATTGGTGGATTGGAAGATTGGTAAAGGAGGGATGTGGAGTGGGATTTATACCGTCACCTGTTAAATTGGAACAAATACGCAATCAACAGGTTAATGATTTTTCTTGCTTTCTCACATTAGTACAGAGATTTTTAAACTAAGGGGGTCACAGTGACTACCTGGGGGCTTGGTCCTCTTTGGGTACCATTCACGATGACTACATTAATTTTTAAGTTAATTTACTGATTTGTTTATCCTTGACTGTAATGTACTTTTTCTTTTTGTTTGTTGGCTTTTTTATTAATAAATAAGTATCTGATCAAAGCATGTTAAAATTAAAACTAGGTATTTCCATTGAAGAGCAAGGGCCACAGGTGTTCAGAGTATATAGAAATGGGCCACAGCCACAGCTCACGAAAGTTAAATTTGAATACTACATTAGGAGTATCACACCTTAGTCCTAGACAAGTTTTTTGATAAGCTGCTGATATTTACTGTTGTTTAGTTACTACCACCATATCTGTCGTTTTGAAAAGCTCACCTAATTTATAACAATCACCTTAAAACAGTGGTTCCCAATCTGCTTTGATATATTTTCCTCCTCTGCTTATTTTTAAACTATTCAATCTTAATTTCCTTCCCTATGCATGGAAATTCTTGTTTTTATTTGCTGTTCAAGCTTTTATGCATCGTTAGCTTGTGACACTCGCAACTCACATTCCGTCTTTTGTTAAGTTCGAATAGTTTATCATATTTGTATAAATATTGTATATATCACGATAATACTAAATACTTTATTTAAATTGATAATACTACAAGCAAATACAAAAAAAAACCATTATTATTCTGTAATTCCATTCATCTATTATCATTGTTGTGAATCACTTGTCTGAGGAAATGTGTCTTTAGTCAGATGGAATGTTACAAAATAAATTTGTGAGGTGTTTGAAACACTTAATGCTTTGACATAACATACACCTTGTTTTATTTTGAATATTCATTTTTAGTATGTCTATAATCAAGTCAAGACCAACTCTTGAGATTATTAAAGTATACTATAAACTCTGCATTGAGCGATGCAGCCAGGTCGCTTACTGTCTGACTATTTTGAATCGAATTTCCCCATGGGATTACTTTGCCATTCAAATTTGAATAATCGCTATACCCTGTTGCATTGTGGTTTCAGTCAGCGTTCATTCACAATTTGGAGGAGATCAAAACATTTCTCCTATTTTCCGAGTATAATTAATTTGAATGAAAATACTTTTTGAATGTTTTTAATGTTTTTCAACTGCATCCTAATAGCAGTATACAAAATTGAAAACACTATTTTAAAATAGAAGAATATTTTAAATAAAATCAGCATATTTTTCAGATATGCCATATTTACCCGTGTATGCTTGTTATTTGGTTCCATATTAGACAGATCTCATAGATGAAATTATGTTCTATTCAGTTGTATATATAAAGTAACCTCTATTTTCTATTAATTGCCCTTAGGAAGTTTGTTAGAATGGACTTCAAAACACTGTCGAAACAGTATCATGTACAATATCGTCTCACCCGTTTTGGATATTGTACTATGACTCAACTAGGGGGGGAATTTGCCCCTTCCACCCCTTGTTCGTAAATATTTCAATCAAGAAGATACATGACCCAATGTTGCCATTGACCGAATAGCTGATTGCAACATCCTCTGTTTGCGCAATCAATGTTTAATATGCTATCACCGGAGAGATTGTTTTGTGAATTTTCCCATACTTCATTTAGAAGTAATAATTTCCTAGCGGCTTCCTATATCTTCCAAGTATTGAAAATTTGAAATCAATTCGTCTATTAGTTGCAAAGAAAAGCAATTTTTTCCCAGCGATATGAATTTAGCAAAACGATCCATAGTTGCACTTCATGTACATTAACAATTTTTGTTATGAGCAAGGGACCATACTAGCCACCATTCATGTCATCATAGAAGTCTGAGTGAATAGCTGGGATTCTACAAGGCCACGATAACTCCGAAACCATTTTACCTGGAAAATATTATATAAAGAAATCTTTCTTTCTTTTAGACTTCGAAATCGAATAAATTTTATATGTCAAAATCTGGAGGGACTTCAACATCAAGTCTTGGTGATACAGTGAGTCAGTCTAGACGTTCCACACCTCCATCATCAGGTAATATTTTTTCTTGTTTTCATTAGTATTGTTTATACCGTGTTCTCGCAAATATGAGATTGTGGCAAAATTATCATGCATACCAGATTTTGTTTTGGTATATTATTTTGCCTTGGATGTATCAAATAAAGAGAAAATTTTTAGAATTTTTCAAAAATTATCCAGGGTGTTACATAACTGTTGGTGTCTTGTTGATTGGCCATTGTTACAGAAGTGAACGAGGAAGTCGATGATTAGGGTCAGGGAAAACATTGATAATGAATAAAATAATGAAGCGTATTTTTGTTTGGCTGTTGTATGTCAATTACTTCAAATGACATTATTGCTAACGATCTGTCTAATATTCCCAATTTTGATTCTATTCATGCTCTTGTCATCATCATATATTTTAAATACAATTTATTTTATAAATAGTTGCTGATCTTGACACGAACGGTGCCGAAGATGATGATTCAGATTCACCTACAATGACTTCGAGTCAACGGTAATTTTCTATCTTATTTTCTTCTTTAATTTCACAAATATTTTTACCCGAGTTGTGCCAAAATTTAATTACAAATTTTCCAACTTCATAACCTTATTTATGACTATCATATTATCTAGAATGTTGGCTCCAGCTTCCTTCCAGTTAAGTGTTCACACTGCACTTTTTAAATGTCAACCGCTTTTCAACTAAGTCAATTCTGCTTTTCATATTACACTCATATTGCACTGTTCCATTTACAGAAGTCCAAAGACATCAGTTTCATCTCAGTCTGGTACAATAGGACGAGACGGAAAAAAGAAAACCTTTTTCAAAAAGCAGGAGACAATACCTCCATATGATGTCGTTCCGTCTATGAGGCCAGTTGTTCTGTGTGGTCCATCATTAAAAGGATATGAGGTTAATTAATTTTTTTACATATTCAGTTTGGCAGTTGGCACATTTGCTACGGAGATTCTTGCCGCTAATTACCCTCTGTGGGTTGCAATTAATTAATTAAGTATGTGTATGAGGATTGCTGGACTTCTTGCTGTCGTAAGGTGATTCATGACACATCTGGTCAATTACAGCTTTAATCACCATCAAGTCCATGCATCTGGCACAAACACCATAATCCACATAGCCTAGTAACCAGACAAGAGGCCATGGTTCGCTACAGGATTAAGACATCTTCCCAGCGTTCCTCTCTTGATGAACATGAGAATTTTATCTTATTAGAACCAAGAGAAAGTGAAGTAACTCAATATAAATTTACTGTATTCAGGTGACTGACATGATGCAAAAAGCTATTTTTGATTTTCTGAAAAGACGCTTCGAAGGGCAAATATCAATCACAAGAGTTACTGCTGATATATCTCTCGCTAAAAGATCAGTCCTGAACAACCCTATCAAAAGAGCAGCAATTGAGAAATCAAACACAAGATCAAGCATAGGTATGTGTTGTGTATAAACCTTTAAAAATTATGATTAAAATGGGGGGTTTGGGGGTCAGAGTTTGACATGTTTACCCTGGAGTCCAAGCCGGACTTGTCGCAGTTTGAATTACCCTGAAACTTTCAGTGTTGAGAAAAAAGTCAAAATATTAACTGGAACTCAAAAAACATTAAGTTGACAACGAATTGTCAACAAATTCACAACAGTGTCATTTATTAGGTAAGGAATTGCTATTTGCTGGGATAAATGTGGGCATGAAATTATGTTGAAATTGTGTTAATTAAAGTTATATATACCTTTTGTTTGGTAAGTTACTATTTCACACATGTGACAATCTTCTTTGTGTTAATAACATAGCTGAAGTGCAAAGTGAAGTTGAACGTATCTTTGAACTTGCACGAACTCTTCAACTTGTCGTTTTGGACGCTGATACTGTCAATCATCCGTCACAACTGTTGAAAACATCGCTTGCTCCGATTATGGTGTATTTGAAGATCTCATCCCCAAAAGTAAGTTTATCTTAAAGTAGAATTATAAATTATTTGAGATGTACGCCAAATTCGGTTCAAAAGTAATAAATCAGAATTTATTGGTATTAAAGGTGAATGAACTATTTCCAAAATACGTGAGAGGTCCCTAAGGTTGAAAGTTAATTAAAATAAAGCAATTAAATTCTGGGTGAAATGTCAAGGTCCAATGAGACTTGAAAATATGAAGAAAAAAGTTATGAACTATTAGTTCCGACAAAAGCGATTTTTTCCCAGAATAACAAGAATTTAGCGAAATAATTCATATGTTCATTAAGTTTTTTTATTTATTTTTTTTTCTGACGTATTTTTGGTAGAATAATCATGCTTTTTTTCTAATCCCAATTTTAAATAATGTTTCACATCCTGCCAGGTTCTTCAAAGGCTCATAAAATCGCGAGGAAAATCTCAGTCGAAGCATTTGAATGTACAAATAGTTGCAGCGGAAAAATTATCACAATGCAACCCGGTATGTATATATGTATATCTTATTTCATACACCTATTTTGCTCTGAATGAGGCTATGGACAAGCGACCACAAAAACACACTACTCCTGTGGCTGGTTCTATAATTTTAATTAAATTAAGATGTGCCAGATTATATAGTTCAAGAGTCAAAAAGTTTCACCAAGTTGTATGTCTTCATTCCCATCACCTTATTCAGGGCGTAATAATATTGGGTATACTGGATAGATGCATAAGCCAAAAATATTTTTATTTTTTAAAAAATCGTCGGTCGCCTTTATCTCATAAAAGTACTTTTCTATTCTACAATCTTAGAGAGATGAATACTAGAATATAAAACTACCAAAACTATTCGTTTTTCTGATCATATCGACTTTGACTTATTCAAGTGTTATGCCAACTAGTATTCAAAGCTGTGTGATGTAACACGATAACCATACAGTTTCAGTAGTTCTTGATATTTTAATGGTTGCATAGGACTCAGCTCAAAGGTATGTTACTTCTGAGTTGAGTATGAGTGACCTTGCTTAGAAAAAATTCCCTTCAAATGAGTCATACAGTTATACCTTGTCGTATACTTTTAGGATCTTTTCGATGTTCTTCTTGATGAAAATCAATTGGAAGACGCTTGCGAACATCTTGCGGAATATTTACAAGCATACTGGCGAGCTACTCATCCTGAGAGCATGTTTGATAATCCTGCATTAGCCAGAAGTACAAACTCGTCATCTCAACCGTCAACACATTTACAGGTAATATGTTGATTGCTTTTATTTTTCTAACGAATTATGTCGGCATTTTTGAAACAGGAGAGCAATGCTCAAATATGGCCACAAAGGTCACATATCGTTACCGTAATGCCTGAGAACAGAAGTTTCTGAAAAGTTGAAATATACTGATCGTGACTCCAATCTTTAAGTACTTGGAATCGGTTGGTCCATTATTGGATGAGAAAGCAAATAGTTGCCCCAACAACTAGAAATTGGCACAGTAATGTCACCTCTACCTGTCAGTGTTTGGTAGAATTCCCCAGAACCTTGAGTAAAACGTCTAGTTAAGGATCGTCTGAAATCGAGTCAGTAACTGAGCTAAATCTGATTGACGTTTAACTGAATACGAGTATAAGTCATTTCCTCCAAATGACTCAAACTGCTTTGATTCCTAGATGAATGGTGACTCGGATCGAGTCAATCACTTGAGCTTCCTAAATATTGCTATCGTTCAACACGGTAAACAGCCATAGTGGTTGACAAATTTACCAAAATCGTGTCTTTGGCTCAAAAAATCTTACAACATTTTATTATAGGTTCACGTTTTGACATCGCTGAAGCGTAATTTGAGCTTTCGTTCTGGACGCCGCGGGTCAACGAATCCTCCATCTAGTGATAAAGAAGATGAAAAATAGCAGAATGAAAAGGACGTTATATATCACACGTTTATTCTGACAAACTATATGTGGCAACCCACAAAATACATCCTTGCTTACAGGCCCATTGTTGGTAATGCTTTTGTAGGCGAATAGCAGTGCACAATATCACACAGTTTTGGGATAGCTGTGTCAAGATGCTTTAATGTTGCTATAGGCTAATTTCCTTAGTAATTTGTATAACTAAATTTTCAGATATTCAATTTTCTTCTATGAAATGTATCATTTATCTTAACCAACTTCAGATAAATTTAGTAATAGTTGCTTAGAAACAGTGGATGGAATAAATAATAGTGGTGATTGCGAGAAACAGAAATACATATTTTTCAGTTTTTGAATGAATTGAATAGCACAAAATTTGTGCACATTAGAGCACGTAGGTAGCGGATTAATTGCGAGGTTGAACTACACCCAAAATACTATATGAAAGCCTTCATACTGTAAAGTACACTGTCATATATATATTTGAGGGCAAGGGCGCTTTTGCCTGCACAATTGGTGATAGAGAGCACTTGTGTTGTATAGGAGTCTATATTATGAAGAGTTTTATCTAGAACTTTTGGCTCCTACCAAAATTATGTGTAAATATTTTTCTTTTGGTGTCAATTGTATTGATAGGTTTGTTAAAATTAAAATTCTATTGATCATCTTAAAAATACGAAGATATACGACTAGTTTGGAAAAAAAGGTGAAGATGTCTTATATCAAAATTGTATATCATGTGATAGTCATACAATATGGCACATAATTGATGTTACGTTTTTTCTTCTTTTTTTTATACACTGCACCTTAATGTTCCCATTGTCCGTTCTCAAACCAAATCACTCAAAAATATACTCATTCGGATAATATTCAATGGTTTGCGTGCATCCTTGCTTTAAACCTCAATTTCGTGTTAATAGATGATGCCACTGATATGTTTTTACATAAAAAAGCAACATAAGGTCCCATTATTCAATATTTATCAAATCCACTCAAAAATATACTCATTTGGAAATAATGGTTTGAGTGCATCCTTGCTTTAACCCTCTCTTTTGTGTCTATAGGCCATGGCCACCAATATGTTTTTTTGAATCGAAAAAGTAACATCAGGTCCGTTGTCTATTCCCGGACCAAATCCATTCAGAATATACTCATTCGAGAAATACTGAATGGTTTGCATCCTCACTTGTGTGTCGAAAGATGATGCGCGACCAATATGTTTTTCACATCAAAAAAGTTGACATCGGTTTTAACTATTGAGTGTATGCAGCATATACCAAAATATACGTGAATTCTCAAAAAAGCACCGTGAATGTAACAATATTTCCGCAGGCTTATCTCGCAATGATATGTGGTGCTCCTATCTCTCTGCCCCTTATTTCTTTCTATGAAATTTCTCTGTAGAATTATGTAAGATTTAGACATTTTATTTATTATTCTAATAGATTGTGGTTAATGACACAAACTTTTTGCTGGAAGAAGCGCTTACCTTATTTGTCGTTCTTTCCTTTGTCTTCTTTATTTACAACTGCAAGCAGTATGGTACAATTGCAGAGGATATCTCTTATTTCATAATTAGCATTTTTTGGTACATGGTAACGGTGTTAGTACTTCATATTTTACAATTTTTTTTTTTTTTTTTTTTTTCAAAAGTAGTGTACAAATGACATAGTTTTAACAAAATTGGGTTATTTGTAAAAAGGCCATTCAAAAATTGATAGGATTTGAACCCCCGACACAGCCACCCCCAGGGTATCGAGTTGTATTAATCCTAATATGGGGGTTTCTTTGAAACATACAGATGAGGGGGGGTCGATTTTGTTTAAATACACTTTTGATATGACTAAAAATCCCTAGTGATTTATACTAATTTCATTTTTTTACTATCTATCTGGAACCCGGAGAATTGACAATTCATTAGGCTATGCAAAGACTATATAGTATTTTTTGCAGTGTGCTCTTCACACAAGGTTACGATTATCCTACATTACAATAAATAATTGAAACGATTAGCAATTTCTATCAGATTATTTATTTCACAGTCAATGAACTGAATACACAAATTACTTGCCGTTACTGAAGTATTCACTCCTATTTTTCGTGCGATACACTGATACACATTGCTTTTTCTTCTCTTCTTGCCACTTGTACTATTTTTTCATGAACTCTATTGCAGTTGTGGTACATTGTATGTATTTCATTCTATTTTTTTGTAGAATATATAAACAAAACACATTTATGTATATATAAGGAAGAGAGTAAGGTATTCATTTTGGTCCATGCCCGAAAAAAGACCTGTTGTGTTAAAAATTTTCTGGAACTAAAAATATTTGATTCAGTTGTTATTGTTCTCCCATTAGTTCGTACCTCATTCTGGGTAGTAGAGTAGTTGAAAATTTATAATCAAATCAGATTACTGGTTGAAAAAAACAGTTTCAAAGTTCAAATTTTATTTATAATAAATTGCTCTAAGAATTTCACCACTAATCTATTTGGTTTGACCAGATAGCATACAGTACGAAAAAATGGGCTTCTTACAAAATGTCGAAATTTTAATATACCTGTTATGGGGATGCGTTGTATAGCCCACTACTCCGATTGTGGGAGCGCTTAAAGCTAATGTTGGCACTTATTTTTCTGGTACCACTATATATTGTAAATCATGTTACATTTTTTTGTATAACTTTACTGTTATAAAATTTTCTTTCTGTGATTATGATTCCCCTTTTCATTCTTATTCAAGACTTATCATGTATTTGATTTTGTCTCAACCTAAGCATATGTTTGGGCCTGGCATGGCCCAAGCTGGATCACACCTCGATCCTATTGTACCAATAATATATTCTAACCAGTTCGTACGGTAGGTTTAATTTTCTGACAGATTTCCGTTTATTTTAAGTTTTACAAAGAAAAGTTCTCAAATCATGTTGATTATTTATGGGAACATGTTATTCTTCTGTGTGGGAGTTAGTGGCAAATATATTTCTTGTGTAATTGATAGGCACGCTTCATATTGCAGTTTACAAACCATTGCCGCTACTCGTTTCTTTTTATCTGAGACAAATAAAGGTTATTGCATGAGTCTATTTATGTTTATCTCCTGTTCAAGGCAGTGAAGTTAGTTGTGGTGGAGCTGGGGTTCGAGGAAACTTACACAGAGCAATTTAAAAAGAAAATCCCGCCTTCAAGTTGAAGAAAATTTGGCTTCGGAAAACCAAATTCGATTCCGACTGCGGAGAGTTTGAAAATACAACTCCGACTGCAGTTGAAGTGTGCTAAGGACATGCTCATGACGACAAGGTAGTGTAAATTCTCAGATAGCGCTAAGATGGATATTCTTGAAACGATATGCACACAGAACAAAATGAAAATAACAACACGCGATTTCAAGTTGATTAGCGATAAATGGCAGTATGCTAACAGCTATCTGCAGTGCCATCGCGATAACGAACAGGAGCTTCGTACAGTTTTTACACTCCTAATCCTAACAGCAACTAGTTCCCAACATAACAACCATATATATGCACAAAAGAAGAGCGCTCCAGAAGTGTTTGTACCAATATGGAAGTAACTAATTTTGTTCACGTATTTTACATCAAGTTGTGTAAAGGGACTGAAATCTATGGGCAAGGGGATATTCACTTGGCTAAAACAGACAGTCCCCGAACTCGTAATAGAACTAAAATAAGGAAACTCGGAATAAAATTATGGCCTAACCTGGTACACACACTACGGGAATACCCCCAAACAGTACGGGTCGCATAGTTTTCCAATAAAAAGCAAACGTAAACCATGGTTTGCTTCCTGAACTTGTTTATCCCTATTATTTGGTGCTATGGGAAAATACTCAAGTAGTGATAATTTAAATGTTTGTTCTGGCTCATATCGTGTGGACCTCGTCCAGTTTACACACGTTCTACTTCACAAATATGAAGATTACGGTCAGAACCACGGAATCGGAGTCTAGAATTTTTGCAGTCGAAATCTTATTGCCTCTCAGTCGTCCCTAATTCTCCCACAAATAGAAATATTCCACACCAGTAGGTTTATAAAGCAGACTCACCCCTAGTCTTCTGGCATGCAACACAGCCATGTCATGATTGAAACTTTTTAGTGGTTCCTGGCAGATGATGTAATTCGAAATACTTTATGATACATTTTGCACAACTCTTTTCGTTAACTGGAATGAAATCGGAGACGAGAGGAAGTCGGCTACGATTGCGCACTCACATGCAGCGAGCCGGTTTTGTACTTATAATGTTTTACGCCCGCACGATGCCCATAAGAAAGCTGGCCACTCACCAGCAGAGGTTCCACGCTTTAAGATAGTATTAGATGGAAGGTATAGGATCGAGAGTATAATTTAGTTTAGAAGAAAACATTGCTAGTGAGTGATGATCTTAACTGATTTTATTCAAATAATAAAAGCACTGCTTTTTGTAATGTAGATTTCTTATTGCGTGTCACGTTATGAGTTTCGGGTCAAAATGCCCACATCACCGATGCAGAATATAGATTTATAGTTACGAATGACGTTTCCTAATTATGACAGCAAGTAACTTTAGTAATGTCCACTTAAACTCGTGGGATAAAATCTGGGTAGGGGAGGATGTCAGTTACGCTCACCCTTGCACTTTTTCCGAGCAATTCAACTATTCATACGAAATGTATAACTAGCGTTGTCCTGTTTGGAGAAAGCTTCTATGATGTATATCAAATAAATTTGTATTAGTCCATTGTTCTGAAACATATTGCTATGAACTGAAACGCCCTCTCGGCACTGAGTAATCTGAATAACACGGCGCTTTCCGGTAAACACCGAGTCCTGTCCCGATCGTGACTGTGCTTTGAATGAGCATCTCGCCGTGAATAGACGAGATTCCAAGTTGGCGGGAAACTGGACGTTGTCATCTGCTCGAAATTGCTAGAGCATGTGTTACCGTTAACAGTTTTTTTGTACGTCAAACTTGTAAAAAAATTGGGGCTTAGGTTGGAGACGGTGACAATTTTCTTTAAAGAAGATATATAAAACATTTGGAGTGAAAAGTGATCTCATAGTTTATCCTTCGAAGCATTCGAATTTGTCAAGTGATGTTATTGGTGGCGTGAGATAGATATTGGAAACGTGCAATAAATGCAGCAGAACAAATGCATCGAAGTTACAGCATTCTGGCAAGAATCCAATCCTGCGTGGATCAATTTTATAACTCGTAAAATGAAAAACTTGCAGTTGTTAGTGGACTGAACAAATCATAGCATGAAGGTTTGCCTGACAAACTTTTTTTACCCACATATTCCCGCATGTCCATAGTTTTGACGGAGTCTTCAATGTTGTATCTAGTAAGATGAAAAAATAATAATATCTATCTATGTTACTTCAAACTCTACAGTGCTGATTTAAGGTTGGTCCACCATTTACACAATGAATAATTATTTACGAATGTGCACATACTCATCGCGATAATTTAGTCATATTTTACGTCGTTAGTGCGTATGCACATCAGTTTTAGTGTGTAGTGTAAACAAAGCTTAGGCGTAATTTTTTATTTTAATATAGTTTGAAGATTTGTAGCGCAGTTGGGATACAATTCAGAGAAAAAAGATGAATTTTTACATTTCCCACTCGAAATCAAAATATACGGTTTGATTGGTGTACACGCCTTGTGAACGCGCTGCAATCGCGTAGATGGGTGCTCTGCAAAATCGTTTGTTGGCATATGTTTCAGTTTGCGACAGGCTAAACCGAATGTAAATTTGTAATTAGTAAAACATCATTAATATGAAGGATTATCCTGTTGATGATGTCATATGGTTCATTTGATCATACTGAGTGAAACTTGATAGCAGACACACGACGCATGTCCTGCAATTGACCTGGTGTTTTGAATTGTAATTATTTTAGCCCGAATAGCTTTCAAAACAAGTATTTACCAATCAGTTGATCATTTTCATTTCTTTGTGATCGGCATAAAGTTGATCTGGTCATTCGAGACAAAACAGGCTCTCGTGGGATTTTAACTGGACGTTTTCCGTTGTAGATCATCGTAGCTGAGTATAATAATATTAATGTCCGTTCTTTTTCATTGAAATGGACAAGCGTTGACATGAGTGAATTGAAATACAACGCCTTTCCTTATCCTGTCGATGCGTAAAATCTGTGGCCACACGGGACACTTTTGATTTAGTCATTAGCACAAATGTGCATGATTATTATATCATTCATTTGTAACAATATTGTGAAGTATATTAAAAGCATCGCGTTTGTCAATCAAATTGTGTCATTAAATAGGCAATTATTAGTAGTAATTGGCTAATGGTGATTGAGATGTAGATTTGAATATGACGACTGGCTCGCGAGTATCCAGAAAATGAATAACAATACTCTAAAGTTTAAAATAAACTAGACATTGATATGGGTGTGGGCCCATGGTTATCGTCGGTTGATGATGCCAACCGTCAATGGACAAATAGCGCTATGTATGTTCTGTATGTTGCTCTAGTTTGTATGACGGTTAAACTTTTGTAACAGTTGAGCATATCTTAAACATGTGCGGACGATCTACGATAGCAGAAATTTATTTCTTAACGTTTGTTATTAATAAAAACTATTGTGACCGGGACATGACCTCATCACTGCGCCAGCGCCCTCAGAGCATTATTCCGCTGATTCTGCGGATTACTCCGTGCGAAAATAGGGCAGTGGCTTTTTGAAAACGTAGAAGCAATTTTGTCCTAAAATCATTTGCGCGAATAGTCACCTCTCATCAACTGCAGTGAATAGGAGCGCCGAATGTATCTTGTGAGTAGCTTGAGAAGAGGCTTGTTTCATTTTAGAAGAATTTTGTGGAAATAGAAGCTTATAAGCATAAATTGATACCTTATATTACACCTCGTTCCTCTGCCATTCTATAATCACATTACAGACTCATTTACTTTTACGAAATATGAAAGGTATTCGGTACCTATTGTTGCACCATTAAAAGTGTTACATCATAATTTTGATTCAGTCATCACAATACTAGGGGAAATCTAATTCCGGTTAAAATTGATGACATTATAGTCTTGTGGCGTGCGTTAGTCAGCAATCACACGTGAGATAAACAACAGCCAGATCAAAAGAAGCTAGACATTTATCACACTAACTTCGGTAAAAACTCAATTATAGTCAGAGAATTTTAGCTTACTCGTGGGGATTCTGTATTTTCTCATACCCGAGTGGAATTATTACAAACTAGTTTTTCATTTCGGAACAAGGTTCAAAGTTTTGTACTAGGAAATTTGGAATTTTTTCTGACTATCATTTTGAGTGAAGATTACGCAACTTTATCTCCCAGAGGTAAGTTTGGTACAAAATCTTTTCAATTCATTCTGCGAGAGCATTTATATAAATAGTTATGACAAACAAAGAGGTGAAAAGGCGAGGAAATGTGAAAGAAATATTACAGCAAGCAAATGATCTATAGATTTAGTTCATTTTTTTTTCGCAATTTAGAAATGTATCAAGTTTTATTTTTTATAGAACTGCCAATAAATGGATTGTGATTCAACAGAATAATACCACTATCTTGTGGATAAGCATTGGTGACTGCTTGCAGCTCTTCTGTCAGCAACTTTCCACTGCTTTTTGAGGGTTTGGGCGAACTTGTATAAAAAATACAAATAATTGCAGTTTGATTATTGAAAAATATAAATGTATGAGAAAAATTGGAACTCGAATTTGAAACTTCAACAATTTAATATACAATGACGTGTGATATACCTTGAAATCCGAGGTAGGTGACGTGATTTACCCGCTGAAATGTGAATTTCTCCTGTTTATTTCTCCATTTTATTTTTTTTCTCTTCAGACATTTGCTTCAGTCAGATACATATTGTCAAAGTGACATTTATTTACAATCTTGACTTACTTGCCTAGCGTAAATGTACCGCTTATCACGCATGTTTGTTATCTTTCAAAACGTGTCAAAAAATCTTCGAATTGATCCTGTCCAGGCCGAGAGAAAAACATCCGCCATTACGCCACTCTTACTTGCTTTTATAAGTTCGGTTTGAAATTGCGAGAGTCTCGGTGTACATCGACTGCGGGTATTCGGAAATGTGCCGGGCGTTCTTCGATATTCACTTGCCATATAAGCTTGAACAAAAGTGAAATCGTATTCAAGCAACAAGCGTCTGCCTCGACAATGTTTGAACTTTTTTGGTTTAGCGTTTAAAATGGTATTTTAGCCATGTTCGACTGTCGTGAATTAAATATGTTATGAATATTTCGAATACTGAATTTAGCCAAGTTGAAACAGTCTAACTTTACTGGCAATCGGGCCATTTACTAATAACATTGTATGTATGTGTTTTTATTACGTTTTGTAAGAACGCAAGCGTGCCTAATCTATCCAGCTGTGTTCGTGTAACAATATATTATATGATATTTTACAAGTCATAAGCAGAATTCATAAGAATTTCCTACATTTTTATCAATAAAGCATAACGAATTTAGCCGAACGGAATAAATTTTATTTGTGGCTGCAAGGATAACAAACGGTTTGTTAATTGTATTTAACTTAATCGAATTGTTCACTGTATACTAAAGTTATAGATACATTATATTCAACTGAGAACTAGTGATAAATAGAAAAGGGAGTTTGAATATGTGCTGATCTTCTACAGTGACACACACTTGAATTATCAATGGAGTCTGTAACGGAAGTTTACGACGTCAATTTTCCCACGGTTGTTGCTTCGAATTTGTCGGGACAATACGGTATTGATGAACATGTGAACTTGACTTTGCTTCCTCCCAAATGCAAATGGAACTCCTTGAACACGGGAATGGCTTGTCTGCTTTTCTTAACATTTACACTGAACGTGTTATCATCCATTGTTCTATTTCGTGTACCACTGGTAACTGTCAGAGGAAGGAGTAATCCAGTATATCTTTGTATACGATTTTTGAACATTTGTGATGTCCTACAGGTGAGGATATAGTGCGAATATTTTTGATAATATCTTTTGACAAAGATTTTTGTTGTCTGGAAGGTAGGAGAGGGAGGTCCCTTTTTGCGTATTTATATCGTAGCTCACATTGTCGCTCTTCAAATCAACAAGATAAATAGTCAAAACCTTTTATATTTGACGTAGCCAACCATTTTACTGCGGGATGTTCGTATTTTTGCTTAATTTTCTACCCCAAAATTATATTTTGTATGGTTGAACAGGTAACAATCGATCGTTGACAAAATTATTTTTCATTTTAGGCGTTTTTCCTGATTTTGATGCCAGCATTCGCAACTCCAGAATGCGATTGGCTCGGTGGAAAAATATCTTGCAGTATAATGGGATTCATTGTCTTATTTTTTCTTCTCGTTTCTCCGCTTATTACAATTTTAATGGCATTTGATCGCGTTATTGCTCTTTACTGGCCTTTCAAATATCGAAGTCATCTAGGATTGAAGGTAAGGGAAAACATGCTGTGAATGTTTAGTTTTTAAAAATTTAAATAAGTCTAAAATGAGCACGGTGTCTATGAACTATGAAAATATCAATACCCAGTACATTACTGCAATGAACTTACAATGAGCATTATCATAAACGTTTTTTTGTTGTTGGTTAAAACAACGACCTATCAAAAGTCTTCATCAACTTTCAGCTTGAAAAGGTCGTTAAGCACGAAGGTTTGCCACATCATTACCTACATTGTACCTTCACATCGGTATGCATGTCATTTAAAAGGGCCTTGAACTTTCTGGCGCCATTATCTTCCCATAATTGACAGTATTGCGTGTACAATTGCGATATATAAGTTTATCGTCGGTGACAAATGACCACCTCAATTTTAATACAAAATGAAAGTACAGTCCATAATAATTGAATAACATTTCCTCACGGTCGGGATTGGAGCTGGCCGTTTTCCAGACCAGACTTTCTATGTCACAAACATGTGTGAAAGTTGTGACTCGAAAGATTTTTACCTTGTCTCATTAAAAGGACAATCCTCACAAAAGTGTCAAAGCCAGACGACAACTAGATTTTCCTGAAAACAGTTTGTGAGAAAATGACATCATAGGATAAATACAATATGTTGGGATATTACATTCCTGTTTAGGAAATTCATATCACTATGACATACAATTGGTAGATTTGTGCATCCGATTATAATCAGACATGCGTAGACTTGGGTCGGAAAAACGAAATACGAAAGGTTGGGAATTAAATAGTTTGTTGATTAAAGTATGGCCGTGCATAACTCATTGGTATATCGAAACGTCGAAGCTGGACTCATTAGTGACGTATCATTGTTTGAAAACATTTTATGTTAGAAGATAGCAACTCGATATGTTTAATAAACAGCCTTGTTCTCAGAAGACATTTTATGCATTCAATCAAGTGAAATCACGAATTTAAGGATAGCTTCAAACTGACCAAAAACGAAAAAAACTTAAGGCTGCTCTAGACAGAGACTTGATTGGAGAATATTTTCAAACCCAAATAAGGATCTTATTCTTTACGTTAGTAGAATTAGAGAAGAGTTCTTTTCATTTCAATCATAACAGTATCCTAATTAACCCAAACTCCAAGAACTTAACACGATATTATGATTTCATACGAAGTTAGCATTATATTCAATGGTGTAACCAAAATTGTAACCTATTAAATTTTTATATTTACATATGAATATCAAGAAAAAGCTTAGAAAAGCATTTTTTCTTGTGTAGAATTGATTACAGTGCTTATTATGGTTACGAGTGATTTTGGTTTAAAAATTCAAAGAAAACAATGTATTCGAAACTAGAATCTAGTGCAAAGGCAGACCTAAATGTTGACAATATGCTGCTTTAAAAACAAATAACGAGCTTCGTAATCGCAATTTGATATCCCAATAGAACTATTCTTTTCGTAGTTATAATGCGCCAAGCACAGGGTGTTGATAAACATGATCAACTAAGTGCAATTCATCTATGGAATATATTTCATCACGAAATTTTAACTGCATGCAGGATAACGGCAATTTCCTGACGTATAATACGTGTGACGTATACACATTTCAAATTGTTTAGCTCATTCGAACGAATACCAAGCATAATCCATTGAAATGGTAGTACAGTATATATAGGAAATAACAGTATGGCGGAGCTTAATTATTATTATCCGGCCTTATTTAAATGTCGCTTCCGTCGGTGGCAAATTGGGATGGTAGAATGCGATATTGGTTACCTTACTAAAAAGCCTCTTTCGATTTTCTCTATAGGCAAATAGCGTCATTTGTTGTCCTCTGACCTCTACGTATGTTTCACATATCTTTATTTGAGAATGAGGAATCCTAAAGCCTATTCACAGAAAATGTCTTTTCATAGATAATGCTTATTGTTGATCTCAATAAACGCTTGGATTAAATCCTGGTAATATCTTATAATTGTTCACCCCAAATATTTTTTCTTCGAAGCTTCTTGTCTTATGTTCGATTAGGATACGTTAAAAGATGAGACATGAGCCCTACCAAACTTAATATAGAGAGAACAAATCAGAAAATAAGTCAAATTACACCAGTTTAATCGACTGATTTGGTGGTACTGATGACTTGTTTATGTACCCAAGTGATTTTGGGAAGATCAGAAAGGCTCATGACAATGACTTTCGACAGGCCTGCGTTGACGATGATAGTTGCGAATTGCAAAGTGAATAAGCTTGTACTCTTTGCACAATTGGTTTTGATTTTAAACGTTTGAAAATAGTTTTGAAAAAAAGTTTTATTTGTATCACGAAAGGGCGTGTCACAATTGTCTTCGACGGGACCATTTCACACGATGAAAAATCTTCAGCTTTTTGCTGCTTTGTGGCACTTGGCCAAATTAATCATGTGATCAAACTTTTATTTTCAGCTTTTGAAATTTCTTCTACCGTCAGCATGTATTCTTGTAATTATAACAACAATTTTGCCCATATTTGGTGTTGGAGAATATCACGTGGTCAAGGGAAGGAGGTTTTGTCTTTTAGACACAATTACAGGTGAGGTTTTTTGTTATCGTCATTTATAAGAGGGTGCTTCTCTACTAACAAGACTTTAGCCAAGTGGACACGGATGTGTACTACTGTGTATCCACTGGCAAAAATCAAAAAATATTGATGAGTGAAAGTTCACCATTTGTTTACAAACTTATATTATCGATATTATACTTACGTAGATAGACGTGAAAAGATCCGAATATGATTATAGTTGTTACGCTCTGGTGTAATTTCCCGTGAGTGCTTCGGCTACTTAGTCTACTTATTACTTGGCTACTTTGCAGCATTCATATAAAGTTTTACAGTATTCAAGTGTACTTTGCCAAAAGATTCACTGTTAATAACATACCCAGCAATAAATGGATCTGCAGTCATACAAGCATTAGGAAGATATAAGGACACGTTTTATTATTTTTTTTCACCCTGATTGTCATAAACTTACTCTTTTTCTCATCTTCTCTTGGAAAAAGGCATTAGACAAGCGGCCAATGATTTTGCAAGGAGCCAATACGGTTCTTCGTTGCTCAGTATTTTTAGATACTAATTAGGACTCTTATCTCCGATTTATATTTGATCGGGTGTGATCGGATAAAAGTATTTTATATTTATAACATACGGCATACGCAATAATGTTGTACGGCCAATATCGATTACCTTGTTTACTTTTTACACTAATACATACTCCATAGATTGAACTGCTATGGGTCGCGCGAATGATACACATCCGTGACGTCACGCGGGGAAGCTGTTTTGGCAACAAAAAATGACGTAATCAAGAAAACCCACGCCGTTCATGGTTAGACGGCACTTGAGTGATAGATATAAATTAGTTTTAGAAACGCAATTAAGAAAATAACATTTTTAAACACTTGAAAGACCAATTAAAGCAAATACAAATATTACATAATGTATGGAATAGTCACATTTTCATGCCCGCTTAACGTTGCCACTTACTAACAGTTACGTTTTACAACCCCGGAATCTCATTTTGAAGTGAGTCCGATGTAATTTTGCGTTAGCACTAATATCATGGCTAAAACTATTGTTATTGTTTCAGAAAATTCTCTTCATCGTTCCTACGTTATTGGAGTTCACAGTGTGTTTTTCTTGGCTCTTTTGTTCATGTTATCCTGCACTATAGCCTTTCAAAGTAAACTGCTGAGCATGTCATTCACAAAAAAGGTTTGTTGATAATTCATATTTGTACCTGTCCGAAAATTTGTATATAATATAAATATACCGGAGAGAGTAAAGTCGTCAACACGATTCAAATATATATATGTAGTATATATATGTAGGGCTGGGCGTTTCGAAACACTGATATGTCGAAACGGCGCTGTTTCGACCTTCGAAACAGATAGTATGACGTCATAGCAAATGCAACCTGATATTAGTCAAGGTATCATTCAGGGACGTACAATTCGAATTTAATATCAGAATTTATTCAAATATCGCGACTCTCAAATTGCCCATGTTTTGATTGAAAACATTTTATAATTATTTCATTTTATGTTTTATTGTAATCGAAGACACTTTTCGCGACGCGCAATAAATTAGTGCCAACATGAAAGGATTTAGGTCAGCGACGACTTGAAGTACTCGTCGAGGAAGTTTTTGATTGATAATATTTTACAATTATTATCGTATATTTCAACGTAGTCGAGATAGTCTAGCTAGGTTACCGCGGCAATGAATCTAAAATCAAATTTTGTCATAATTAATCGTGTTCATCCTTAGTTTCGATAGTGACCGAGCATTTTATGCATTCTTGCAATTTATCCCGTATGAAATAGCTTTTAAATATTATTTAGTATCTATCGCAGATTTTACTGTTAGAATGGCGTCGTTGATAATAATATCGTTCATTTCGAGTTTGCGGTATTAATTTATAAGCAATAATAAAAGCATAACAGCCGACATGAAATATTTAAATCAGAGCTGGCTTGATTAAAAATAATAAAAAATATTTCAGTCTTAATTCTCCGTCACTGGCGGATGGAAATTTGTGAATCGGGTCCCCACATTTGATTATGACAATGATCGCGTTATAACATAGTGTTTTTCTGAACTGTCGCATAGTCTTTTAAGCAAAATAAAAATTAATTCCCCCCAGTAGCACAACAGTCAATATCTGTTAGGAGGGATAATTGTGGCGGAATTTAGCTCAACGATGTCGATGACGATAAACAGTCAGAATTCATGACGAAAATTAGCCGTGTCAAAAATCCGAGTTAATGTTGACTTTACTGTATAAATTAAAACATTTCACTGGGCGTATAGTTTTTCTTTTTTTGTGCTTGCCAAGATGCACCACAATTCATAAATATTGTAATATTTGATAAATAAGTCTATTTACTTAGGCTTAATTAAAGCAACAAAATAACTAATTTCAATCATGAATTCAATCATGATAATATCAGAAAAGCCCAATTCCTATGTTCCTCGATTTTCGAATATATTCGAAATCCAGATTCAAAAATACTTTTTTAGAATGTCTTTGAAATAGTCTTTTGTGGAACTCCATGGTATAATTACCCCACTGGATCACAAGGATTTGTGGCATCGGATAAAGTAGAAAATGAGCCCAATTATTACATGAGATAATGGCAGGGACGTTTCGGGAACCCATTCTATGCTGCTTGTGAGCCCCATTTCTAACAATGACGTAATTCGTAATATTCTGGTGCCATTTGGTCACTGCTCTGTCATTAAGCAAAAACCTTCGTATCATTATCGTTTTATGCTCTTGAATTACTTTCCAATGCTTCCTTTTTGTGGATTCAATTCTGGGAATTGTGTGCCATCATTGTACATTAAATTCGATGGGTAATAATGGTGACATGTTCTACTGTTTGTGACAAACGTGTTTTTCGTTTCGTTTCGGTTTCGAAGGCAAAATTTCGTTTTGATTTCGAAACACCAGTGTCGACTGCAAGTTTTTTCCCGGATGTTCGACTTTTAACGACTGTTCAACATTATCTTGCCACATCTTTCCCGCAGAAAAATCCGCAACACAATATGTATTTTAGAACAAAGACATCGAATGAATAGAAATCGGAAATTATACGAAGCAATAAATATGCTGGTTGTGTATGCTCGTCTCGTCTAGCGCTATGCTTGTTCTGTGTATTCGCAAAATCATACAGACAACGACACAATATAAAAATTCGTAATCAATACGTTTGAATATATATTTAGAAGAGACCACAGCACGAGGCGTTTTCAGTGGAATCAGTGCGCCAGAGATTATATATGAGTGGAAAATTCTCCAACTACCCCAAATGTCTCCGATAAAAATTACAAAATTTGGGTATTTTGAATCATTACTATTCGCGCTCCACGAGACGTCTCTCCCGTGTTTTGCGTCCGCAAAAAGGTCATTGCGGTCATCGTTTAGGTCGAGGGGGCAATTTTCACGTCCATTTATTTTTGTCATGAAACTCATTCGCCTAGTGACGCCGTGATATTGTCATGCCGACGAACAAAATTGGAGGATTTGGGAAGGAAAGCGGTTTGTTAACATTTTTAAAACGAAATTCTTTTGGCAATGTATAAATTCCTAAATTTATGTCCGTTTTGTTGTATAGTATGTGGACTGACTAACTGCACGGCGTCCTTATGTCATTTTTTGCAGAAGCCCTTGCATTTAACAAATTTTGGAAGCTCAAATGCTTTAAGAAAATTAAAATCAATTGCAATATCGCTATCTATATTTTGTTTAAAAAATTTGTTAGGGCCATCTGTTCCATTTGGAATTGTAATACTTAAAATACTCCTTTATGACGTCGTTATGACGTCAAATGGTTTTTAAGTAAGATAAGAAAGGAAAAAACAAATCTGTTTTGTTTTCAAGTTTCAAAAACAAACGAATAACAGTCAATATCAGTTCAAACCATTTGTCACATCCAAATGGTTTGTCTGATAAAGTAGATATGAGTCAGTCCTTTAATCTGCCTGTGGCTTGCTTGAGGTTACGACGGGGGCAGTTATCTTGGGTTTTTTCGCAACTTGAAATTTGGAATCTTGTTTTGCAAATAGGCTTCATTGTGTATATTATGCTATTGGTTTAGCTTTTTCGTCGCCATCTATTTCCCGATTTCCAAACGATTGAATTAGTCGCTCTGATATTGTTTTTCGCTAATAATATACCCTTCTTACATAATTACGACTAGAAGTGAAAATAGCGAAATAGAAGCATTCGATATGTTTCACGGTGAACAGACGATGTGTCGTGGTTTTCTATATCGTTCAACCGCCTAATTGACCTTTCACCATGATTGCGGAAGTCGGGGAAAATGTACAATCAACACCGGGCAGGGCTGGACAAATTTGAATACAAATTCGGATTAAGAAAATCTCCGACTCCTAACACCAGATTGTAAAAAATTTGACTCCGACTCCAGTTCGAATTCGGAAAAATTAAATTTTTATAATAAAATCTTTGGTGTTTGCAATCTATCTTCAATAGACTGTTAGAAACATTAAGCCAACTCATTTTTCGATTTTCTGTAAAATATTTTGACTCTTGACAATTATTTTTTCCTATGAGATACTAATCCCATCCTATCCCGCGTCGTATCTGGAGCATATGCTTTGTCTATGGCTTCAAATTTAAGATCTATAATTATATGGAATACGTCATGAAGTTAGATTATATTCCATTATACGAATAAATGATCACTTTCTCTCACATCCACAGCACAAAGAATCAAAGTCAAAGGCTCGCAAAAAAGTATCTTCACGACGCACAAGAAATGCTACATTGACAACAATGGCAGTTTGCTGTATATTCATCATTTGCTACATGCCTTATGTGGTACGTAAAATTGAATCTTTCAACACATTTTTATTTATTTTATATTCAAAGATAGTGGTTGTTGATTTTATGAAAATTATCCTATTCTATAATTCTATTGTTTTATCACAGATTCGGGTCCTCGTCGAGGCTTCAACTCTTCAGAAGTCTCCTACTATAATCACCTGGATGACCTTTGGCCTTGCATTTTTACAACCGCTTCTTAATCCTGTAGTATACCTGGGAACCAACGCAAGATACCGGAAGGAACTTCAGGTAACTGATAGTATATAATTATGTTTAAGAAACCCATTATATTTCGGTAAATTTATCTCTATCACAAGAAACTTCGATTGCAAATCGAAATGCTTAAGATATGCTTTCAGAGCGCAAACTGCTGTATAGTATAAACAAAATACCAAAGTCAAGTTAGCTCGTGAACATTTGATTAAAGATATCATCTCCGGATTTCACAGTAACCGGCCACCGGTTTTCATAATGTGATTCCAAACCCGGATATACGGATTCCTCATTGTTCTCATATTATATCAACGCCATGTCGATGAATAATTGCAATCATGGCAATTTAGACAATCAAGTACCCCACGTTGATTACTGTAAAATTCTATTAGATTTCGTTTATTCTTTAAAAGTGCACGCAGTAGTTTCAAAGTTTTCATTTTAGGCTTTGATAAAAAATATTAAAGTATCAGATTGGGAGACTTCTTCGGAAAGCGGTGTCACTCACAATGGCTCCAGAGGCGCCTTCTCCGGGTTTCGAAGACGAATTTCAAGCGGAGGTAAGAATTAAGAAAAATATTAATTTACCATTTTTAAACCTATGATCAATCGTCAATGCCAAATGTTTTCTGTTTGCTAGGCTATTTCCAATCCAAAATTTAGATGCACCTTCAGCGCCAAATAATTCTGGTCCTAGTCTCTAAACCAGGGGTTCTGAATCTGGTGGTACTTCGGATTGCAATCGAGATTTCGGCATATTTCTAAATTTTAGAGTCGGGGAAAATTTACAATCAAAATCAAAGAATTCGACTCCAAATTCGACTCCATCGGAAAAAAATGCCGATACTCCGACTGCATAGTAGTTTAATAATCTCGACCATGGCATACTGTGGAGCATGACAGACCCGAGTGTCTGTCTATTACTACTCCTCGAATGGCGAAAATCATTTGCAATACACAGGCATAGCCTATATACAACAATGTTCAGTATAAAGTGTTTGAAATAAATACCTTTTATTAATATCTTTTGTAATACCAGGTAATAATGTTAAAGAGTAGTCAATTATTACTACCCAATTTCGTATAAACCTATAAAGCAGTCGTGCTTAAACTTTTATGATCCGTTGTCCCCTTAAAAGGACTCTCAACCCTCATGAGCTTTGCTCTCCTATAAAATATACCTGGCTTTCATCACCTCTTTTGCAAATGAATGAATGTATTACAGTCAAAGAGTTGAGTAAATCAAAGTCAATTCACTTTAAATTAATGTAGTCGTAGCGAATGATACCTCTTGAAGGCCTCTCTTTGTTCGTGGCATCCAGAGAACCGGGACGTGGTCGCCTGATCGGGCCGATGGTCCGGTTCGAAAAACCCTGTTATAGAGTCATTATGAGATGTAAAAATTACGTGACGTCATAATTCAACAACATGATTCCACAATACAAAAATATAGTATCTTAATATTCGTTGAAGTTGCAATAGGCCGACGGTTCTCAATGCCAATAACGATTTTGCGAGTTTGAAACGAAGGCAAATTGTTGTTTGAGATTATATTTTCGAAATTGTATTTGTCGCCATCAACTGCTGTGGGACGAAACTAGGCAATCAAAATATTTGCAAGTGACTCATTTCCGTGCGCCGCATTAAAACGAGTTTTCTTAATCTAATATATTAACTGGCTGTAAGATAGACCGTAGAATAATATACCTCTTATAGAATACTATCCCCCATATAAGTGGGTGCAGTGTTTTTATTTCGTAACTATAAAAACATACATAGTTTCGTATTCATCTTACGGTTGAATATATATTTTTTGTTATTGACAAAAGTCAATATTTGAGATTATAAATTAAATATAACACCAGTAAAAATGGTTCTAGGGGGCTGTATGGATGCTTTACTGCAGGGGTCGGCAAACTACGGCGGAGCACTATAATCCGGCCCGCGACGCTCCACTAAATTATAGTAACAAAACATCCGTTTTGACGGATATATTCTTTAGACTAAATTATATTATAACCTAACAATTATAAATTTCACAATTACTCGTTTGATGAGCATATAATTTAATTATAATTAAGCAAATGGCAACAAAACTCAGAAAAGTTGATGCTAAGTGCAAAAGGTTCAATGGCGCTGAAAATGTTCAAATGGAATTTTATGAGATGCAATGAGGAAATAAATCTATATTCTATTCGAGAGATGTATCACTGCTTCATTTTTATTATAAAAAGTACAATCCGTTCGGTTTTTCAACTTTCTATGACTTGCAACCTTAATTTCGACCCGCGAGAGACAGACAAATGGTTGCCGACCTCTGCTTTACTGAGTTGGATTTAGACAATGGGTTGAAGAGTTGGAGAAAATTTACAATCAACTCTCCGTCCCTACTCCGGATTGAAAAAAATTTGACTCCGACTCCAGCTCCAAACCACTAGGAAATCAAATTTTTATAACATAACATTAACATACTGGTCAAAAAGCTTAGCAAACTTCCGGCACGTTTTGAGTTTTTGTAAAAAATGTTCACTTATTTTATCATCATTAAAAATCTGAAATTCCGACTTCATAGCCCTGATTTAAACTTAATTCCTGCAGAACCACGGACCTTCTTCGCTCTTAACCTTTTTTACAACCAATATCTCGACCGACCTTCCGTCCCGCGGGTAAAATGTAGAACATAAACTTGCATGAAATACAAGACTTTGATAAGTGAAAAAGCTAGACAAACGGGCTACAAGAATTAATAAGCAAATCTCATCTTCAAGTGTAGAGCCATTGACTTCCAAATAAACCTTTTTCTATGCTAAAGTTATATTAAATGGAGCACCGATTAGACCACACTAGAGTGGGGAAGTTTACATCTTCATATTGACACCTGTCTACACAATTTAAATTGACAAATTCATATGAATACATTTCTGTATTAAATTCTTAATTTTCAACAAATTTTGTTTTAAAATTTTTTTCGTATAAATCGGGATTTTTTGCTACGTGGAAAATATTGAATGAATAAATGAACAATTTAAATATCCCGATTTTACAAAGAAAAATTACGTTGGTAATTTGTTCAAACTCGTTATTTTCAAAAATTTCTCATTATCTATTTACTTTTATATTTCTCACTTACTTTTTCTCCCACACCAAGAATTTTAGTTTTAGACAATTCAATTTTATTGGCTTCGCTTTAGAAAGGATATTGCTCGTTACGTGGAAAGATAAATAGAAATTCCGAAGAGGTATATTCAGTATAGAAGTAAAAATAATATTTTGAAAGTAAACACATAAATTCTGCGTAAAATATTGCAACATTGCCGCATTTTGTGTTAGTTTATCATTTCACTCGGAGCAAAACTCTAGTTGGGCCACCTAATGTATCTTATGTAAAATAATATAGATATTATAAAATAAATTTCAGGTAGCAGAAACAGCAAACGTAGCAGCAGGCGAAAAACTTTGGCGGATCATAATTCATTGAACAATAGCGCCACCTCGCCAACAGGAACGTCAAAACATGCGAGCGGGACAAGAAAATCAAGAAATTCAGCGTTTTTGCCGGATACCTTCATTGTACCGGATAAAGATACAAAACAAAAGGTATTGGTAATGAAATACACAATAGTTCGGACAGATAGACTCGACCCGGTACTCGGAGAATATTTGTTAATGAGAAAAAAATCGCATTTCTTCGGAGCTAATGAAGAATAGTTTACAAATTTTCAGAACTTGGAGATGGTTGCACCACTCTTTTTTGAATAATTCACTGAGTCCCTGGGGGCTCGATTTTTACCCAAAATTTTACGGTACTACGGTCTGTCACTGGACCTTGGTGTTCCTATATTATAGCATTGCTTTCTTATTTGTTAGAGATCTTCGTTTCCGAGACAAAAGAACTTAGGAGATGAAATTAAGTATAAGCAGAGAATTCGTGAACCGTCGTCAAGCAGTGGAGTAAAATCATACGACAGCGTTGAAAAAATGTTAATCACTCCTCCTGCACTGACTTCATCTTGCATGCCATTTGGAAAATCCTTCGTGTGGACATCAGGACAGCAAAAGTCCGGAAAATATGGACGTTCCATGAAAAATAATGACGTTTTTGACGTGGAAACGAACCGAGAACGTAGCAATACTGTTTCAGAGGGCTATATGCCTTCCTCAGGGGTATCTGGAGCGAAAGAAATCGCTTACATAAGAAATATGCATAGAAACTGCTCTTCGAGTACTCCAGGATTACTGGAAGCACATACTTTCTTCGATTGTCAACACGGAAATGAAAATTCTGACGAAATTGGGCGTTTGGATCCTATTGACTTATGTGTGTTCGATCGAAGTCCAAAAAACTTCCCGGATACTGGGGAACTGCCAACAGATTCCTATTTTGGTAGTGACAATCACATCCATAATACGTGCGTTGCGTCTTCGAATAATAAGCAAAGCAATTCAGGATGTGATCTGACCGAAAACTACGACGCTCCAGATGTATTTATCGACAACGACCATGTCGCGAAGTCATGCTCTAACGCAATTGACTTTTTGTCGCCCAAAGCGGAAGATGACTCCGATATGATGCGTGTGACCGCTAGATCAAGTTATAAAAAAGCTTTGGCTATGAAATCGTTATATCTTCTTTCAAGAAAACCGTCGAAACGCGATAGTGGTGTAGGAGATTCTTGAGTTTCAAAATAACTTATGACAACACCGACTGATACACAATAAAATATAATAAAATGGCTATCTAGATTACCTGGTAATTCTAACTGCCTACCCCTTAAAATTCAGAATTTATATAGGGGCGAATTTATTGCCAACTGACAAATTGTCATGGTTCAAAAGCTGAATATAAACAGCAGGCCGCAAATCGCATCGAAAATCTATAAAATTGGATTTCCGTCTCTAGATCGGAAGGAAGGAAAGGCAATAAGACGTATAAATGATATGGCGGACAACTGAATTTCGCCTGGTTACCAAGCTTCAGTAAAGCCAGTCAATTGTTAAATACAAAATTAAAATCCCCATTTTCAGTCTTTATGCTACAATTATAGCGTCTAGTACCTTTTCGGCATTATTGGTTAAAAAGTGTTCAGCATCTTGTTAACACCAGTAATTACCAAGGACATGAGAGTCAAAACAGACCGACGATTATGGATCATATGGGTGCACTGTCACAATCATATACGTTTATTTATTTACGTCGTAAAAACGAACTATTCGATTCATTCATTTTCATTAGATTTTAATGCGAAAAGGAAAAGTTGAATCAATCTGATGCGTCATGCTTGAAATTCATTAGTCAGCATAGTTTAAAAAGATCATCTTGTCATAATATATGTCATTGTTCTTCGATGACATTGTAATCGATTTTTGTTGAAATTTTTGTTATTTCACTACGCATTTCTAACAAAGCAATTTACATAGTATTGTCAGTGTTTTTAATTTTACTTACTTTTGTAAAATATCATAATTCTGATTTTCAATAGTATAAAAAAGACCACAGCATTTTTGTAAACGCTTTTGATAAACCATTCACCAGCGACCTGTGGTGTTTTGTACAACGGTATGTTTTTGCTCTGAGCTGATTTGTGTACCCGCAAAGAAGAAGATAATGTGAGGATATCCAGGCACTGGATTACTTCGACGAAAATGAGATCTCTAACTAACAGTATCAGCGTCGCCAGGACAACGTCTTATCCTTCACAGTACATGCACCAAAATTACTCTAAACTAAAGCTATTACGGAATCTATTGGCAAATTTGGTTAATGATATACACTGTTCTTGGGAACTGGCTTCGAGTTACACAGAGATTTATTTTCAGTCATTTACAAATACTCTGACTCATAATCCAGACAAAGTCAACATCGGTTAAGTCAATCTTATTTAAAGCGAGATGGATATCGTTGTTAATTGCTACAAAAGTACCAATAAAATCAATAGATAAGCTATTTTATCGTAATCGGTGATATGATGTATATTTTTGTGTATGCATGCACAGGCAAGCTTTTTCACGGCAATAATCACAGATGTTATATAAAATACTGCTGTCATATATTTCATATCGTACGCTTAGACGTTTTCTCATTGGGAAGTATGTCTACATATTAGTGTAGGCATAAAAGTAAGCATAGTTTCTATCGCCCATTGAGTTTGGTCAGTGATCAAGACGCTTTCAAGATTTCCAAAAATCATACAGTTTTTGTATTTTTATGTTTGCTTTTTCTGAATAATCTAAATAAATGATGTTACTGTGAGTCTTGTTTTTTTGTGTTAGCTTTTACTTGTGATTTCTCAAAGTGTGGAAAAGTGATAATACAATAAATCTGTCAGTTACCACGAACTGCATAGAAAATCTCGAGAAGACTGTGTAAACAATGCGGTCGTATATCTTTAACGCTAAGTATGGTCTGTTTTCATAACTTCAAACAATTGAACAAAAGGACATTTGGTCATTGAGTCGGTCCAATGACCCTTTATGTTTAGTGATAGCGAAATTATTTTACTTGAGCATACAAACTAAAACTTTGTCTTCTACAAAGTGACGGCGTACTGCGATAATGTGATTTGACAACACTGCCGAATGAGTTTTTTGATTTGAAACTAGGAATCGGATTTGCTCAGCGCAATCTACAACGTAATTTAGACATGCGAAAAGGCTCCAGTGACCGAATGGTTGAAATTTGTGTCTATAACTCGCTATGACATTTATTTAAAACACATATTTTAGCCAAGTTTTCGTGCGAAAATGCAAATTTTTTTACATGTTGTGTTTTAATTTTGCTTGGTTTAATTTGCGATAAGGTATTGAAGGTAGAAAATTTCTCTACATTTGGCAGTGAATTATAAGATGAGGGGTTTTAATAAAGTCGAAACGGAGAGATGAAACAAATTTCCTAGTGACAATTGACCCTAACCTTACGACAATATTTATATTTTAATGTGTTCCATGTTGTGCGACCTAAAGAATTTGACGTTTTCAATTTAAATTGAAATTTAGAAATGAAACTCGAGCTTTTTATCACAAAATGGCTATTTTGGGTTATGAAAGGCTAATGTGATTAAGCAACTGTTTCAATTGTGGGGTAACGTGTGGAAGTGGTGTGTATAAACACTATGAATGGGATGACTATCTATTCAGTATGTTTGCTTTGGTCGTATCTGTTTCAGATTTGAGAGTAAAGTAAATGGTACTCGAGCTGCGAGACACAATGGAAATATACAACAAATGTAAAAAGCGATTCTGAGTGTTTTCACATAACAAAAAGAAACAAAGGCAGCAGTCGTGTGAAGAGGCTTCGTGAAGAACAATAGGTATACAGCGAATCAGTATCGTTCCAAAGGCCCCGGGACGAGAGAGACGCGCTAAGCCGGCCGTTGCTATGAGTGATATTTCCATTGTCAGGAGGGATGGGAGATATCTGTTTGTATCAAAAGTATCAGTCCGTATTGCTGGTATCAGCATGCGCAAATAAGATCGATTTTTGGTATAAACATTGTATAACGCTGATTTTGTCGCGTTTGAGATTCCAATTTGTACGCAAAACACTGCCATATGTCTCAGGTCTCCGTCAGCAGGCTTGGACAGCCAGACAAAGGGATGGGTATGTTACCTAGAATAGAGCACCCCTTGTCTAGGCTAGGAAACCCGGATACAATGTCGGTAAGAGGCATTAGTCGAAGTGGCAGCAGAAATGAAAATGAAGCCGTTCAAGATACCTCATCCCAAAGAGGAATGGTGGTTAGAAGATCTGCCCAGTCTAGAAATGGATCAGCAGCTCATAAAAAGGTGTTTTCACCTGTTCCATTAGACGCCATACCAGAGGGCGTGAAAATTCAGGCTGCTACAGATCAAACCAAGCCTCGGCTTCCAGTTTTTGGATCAAATAGAAATTTTAGCAGAGCAGAATCACGAGCTAGCAATGCCAGCCGCATGAGCACAATGTCACGACCGAGCACCAGAACCAGAATTGAGATCGACGAGCTCGAAGCCATACTGAAAGAAAAACTCAAAGCAGGAGGATTTTTTGCTATCAGGCAAATGTTCAAAAACAACGACCCAGAAGGTAGAGGGAATGTAACTACAGAAGCTCTCTTACATATAATGACATCTGTACTTGGCCGATTGATTTCACCTAAGCAATACCATATGCTCTTGAAACGACTCCATTTGGACGAACGTACAGTAATAAAATTTGATGAATTTTACAGCCAATTTCGAGAAAGTGTATCATCAGAATATCCACGCTGGCTTGATCCAATTGCTCGAAAACAAGTTGAGCGATCCCAGATGACCGCTTCACAAGTTCATGCTCAATTAAAAGAACATGCCAAACAGAGATTTTTAGATCTGGCAGATTTGGTTCCACAAATGAACCCAGGTGGATCATCAAGTATTATCCAACCGGAGTTTCGCAATGTTCTCAACAAATTAGGATTCTATATGGACGAACAAGAGTTTGATAAGTTATGGAAAAAATACGACATGGGAAATATTGGTGTGATAAATGCCCAAACTCTGCTTAAAAAGTTAGGAATTGAGTTCAGAGAGGAAAGGAATACGCCGCCTGAAAAGGGAGCTTTGGATCTCAGAGAAAAGAGTCGTTCAAAGTCAACTACTCAAAAAGGAAAATCACCGCCATCCAGTGCTCGTTCGTTACCAAGAAGCGAGGTAGAACGAAAAACGTCTATCAACATAGAGCGTTGGCTCAAAGACAAATTTAGAGAAGGCTTCAATAGAATGCGGTCCGAATTCCGTAAAGCTGATCCGGATAAGGTGGGGACCGTATCAAGAGATAATTTTAGAAGAGTTTTAGCACAGATGGATCTGTATCTGCGCGAGGATTCCGCACTCAACATGTTTTTGGCGCGATGTGGATTGTCGGAAAGAGGGGACATAAATTACGTCCAGTTCCTGACGAAATTTCAAGATCGAAGTGAAGATGGAGTTCCCCATGCAATTCTGTCCAACCCAGAGCACAGATTTAATAAAGATCCTCGAGCAGTTACACCAAAGTCTACCGTTACAGCAGTAGAATCAAAATTGATGACTTTATTTCAGTCAAACTTCTTGGCTCTTCTTGGAATGTTTCACAAAATTGATAAACACCATCAAGACATAATTTCACAACAAGAATTCAGAGCAGCCATAGAAAGCCGATTCCAAATTGAAGTATCAGATTCTGAATTCGAGATGTTCATGGAAAACGTTCCTTTAGACAAGGACGGAAATGTTCGTTATCCAGACTTCATGGCCCAGTTCGATGCCAAAAAGGGAGCCCCTAGTCTATGGGGAGGTAAATCAGTTGCTACTATTGCAACTAACAAAGAGAAACAAAAACGTTCGCTACCTGCAGTCGATAAGCAACGCTCCGTAGAAGAACTTCATGATATTTTGCGAGACTTGGTGAAAAACGATATGAATAAATTAGAAACTGAATTCAGAAAATTAGACGAATACAACTCGGGTAGACTCACGCAGGAAATGATGTACAATCTGCTCCACAACATGAATATACAGCGACCTATGACCCGAGGTGAAATTAGACGCTTGTGGGACACATACATAATCAACAAAAACCGCACGTTCACTTTCCTGGAATTGATCAGGTTTTACGGTCACTCGCAAAAATCGGCTGCCTTTCCAAATGCTAAAATTTCACCACCAAGACGAGGGGACAACGATTTCATGATGCGATCACGAAAGCTGAATTGCGACGCTGACATGCTGGAAGATAATTTGAGGGCAAAGGTCGACTATATGTGGGAAGACTTGCGAAGGGAATTTGTCGACATGGATCCGTTTCACACTGGTTTCGTATCAAGAGAAGAATTTCGTGATTTACTCATAGAATTATGTGTGCACCTTACGAATCACGAAGCTCAAATGCTCTGCGACCGTTTTGACACAAATAAGGATGGTCGAGTTTCGTATATTGAATTTCTGAAACCATTCGCTCTGCGTAGACAAGTGTGGCGAGAAGGAAACAACATGCTATCGGTACTGACCCATCCTCAGGTTAGTATATGACGACTAGACTAACTAAGTTACCCAATTTAATTAAGTATAACTTAAAGAGAATAAAGTGGTAATTTCTATTCGAAGTATTTTCAAACTTTGATGTTGAAACTTGCGTGTGAAATTAAAAAGTCATCTCAAATGCTTCAAAACAGTAGTTTTCTAATTTTTTGACAATTCACCGAAATTAGTACTCTTGTGCAACAGTCAAATAACGTGATTGTAGATGGGTGTGGATTGTCTTATTTCGCTTCAACAGATGACCGACCATATAAAAACTATTTGCCTAACATGTACTTTCTTTCACAGGCGGAGCTGCCCACGTCCATGATTCCAGGGAAACCGATAGGTGGACTGGAAAACGTTACATCGAAGCTGAAGCAGCAATTAGCTGGTGACTGGCGTACGTTGCGCCGAGCTTTCAAAAAAATGGACATGTCATCAGATGGAATGCTTACCCTTCCAGAATTTCGTAGCGTGCTAAAACTGTGCAACGTAGTGTTGGACGAAGACGAAGTGTATCATGTTCTTTCTCAGTATGACAAAGATCTTGGAGGAAAAGTTGACTATAAACGATTTATGTCTGATACAGTTGGTATGCGACCAGACACACGAAAATCAAACGTTTAAAATGATCACAAATTATTGAATATAGAGTTTTCTGGCAACCTTATATTTTTGAAGCACAGGAAAATATCTAGTGAAATGAAACCTTCAATTATTGTTTGATAATTTTATGAGAATATAGCGACTGGCCAAATAATTTGAATATTCGAAAGCAACACGTATTGCGGAGTATTCGAATCATATATTTCGTAGTTTTTGACTCAGACTTACAGGTAATTAGGCCCAATCTTATCGTCTTTCAACTCTTGAACGTTTTTCAGGTTTGTAGTCTTACTTATTAAACGCACATTAAAAATTATTACTTTTAGAGAAAATCTGTCATATACTTGTTTTGATATTGGATAAATAGATTTAATTATGTAACAACCCTCGAAGCGATTAAGGTCATCTCTGATCTATAAAATCAGAGGATGGCGATATGAGAATGATGGTGAGTTTCTGTGGCTTAACCCAAATTAATTTGCAAAAAATCAAGCAGTTCACGTAGTTTATTGATTTTTAATTATGTATATTTTTATCATGTTGCACTTATGTAGATATTTTTGTCTAAGAGAGCACAATTATTCATTAATATCAATTTAACGTGATTCACTGTTGATGTTGGTCAACGAAACAATTCCCGTCTGCTGTTTTTTGTTAGCACCAATCAATTTGAATGTGTGTTTCCATTAAAATGAAAATGTTATTAATCACGTAGTACAGGGTGGTCCAAGGTTGTCAGCCTCGCGGGCCACACTATCTTTTTTGTATTGTTCGTGGGCCACAATAGTGCCAAGAAAAGGTAAATAGTACAATACAAAACAAACACTTTTATTGTCCAAACACATTGATCTTCATTTGTCATTTAATAAGATAAAACGTGCAAAAATCTTAATATATATATCCACATTTAGTTCTACATTTCAAACTCTTCATTACGAAGAATGTGCCATAATGAGAAAATGCCGTATTAGATTCTCACTGACACAACTTACAAACAAGTTAAGCATTGTGGTATTTGCCCATATCCAGTAAAAAATATGTGTGAATTGGTCAGCTTTCTTTTCGAACTCATTGTTACAAAATAGCTTACAACTTAATACATTCTTTGTAATACTTTTTAGGCTGGTTGCAAAAAAACACCCGACAGGAATTATATTGTTCGGCCATTACGGTAATATTTAGGTATCAGGCATAATAGATTCCTCATTTGATTTTTATGTTTCCATAAAGCCTATTTTGTTAGCATAATATATTCCCGGCCAAAAACTAGAAAGCCAGTTACAACTTAGACTAGCGAAGCACATTATTCAACTTCGCTAGTGGCCTCCGCTAGCCATAACACTTGTCAATTCAGTGACATTGGTGATGTAACAATATGGATATTTTTATGACGAAACAACACCAAATGCAATTTTTCGTTTACTCTCGCGCAAATGCGGCGCGGGCCACAGATAATGGAGCGGCGGGCCACATGTGGCCCGCGGGCCTGGACCACCCTGACGTAGTATAATCACTTTCGACTACCGGTGATTTTTAAACACGTACGATATATTCTAAATATGTTTACATCAAAAAATTATCGTTCGAAACTGTACGTTGCACCACTAATGTTCTTTTATAGTACAAATACATTTTTTTTTATTGTAGAATAAATGTGGCTGAAAACTAATAGCGGAACAAAAAAAAATTGCGAGGTGTGCAAATATTGAAATGATAAAACGTTTCGAGCTATAGCGAAAACCTATTTATTTTTCATGATTTCAAAAGACATTCACACATTATCTATACCAGCATGTGATTAGAATTCTATTTGGTAATATTTTTTTCAAATTTATAAAGCTTTTACTTATCGAAAGTTCAATAATTATTTTCTATTATGGAGAAAGTTAAGCCAGTTCAGTTATAAAAGCTAGATTCATAGAGATTTTAATGTTACGAAATCCGAATCTTTTTTTTCTAAGACTTAAGTATATATATATTATTGGAACACAAGAGATTGTTTGTAAAGCACATTGTAATGTTTCTATTTTTTATTCATCGAAGTTGTGAAAATGTCTTTCCAAATGTTTTCCTAATTGTATATGTTACAACTTTCTCTTCCGTTACTTCAGTCGGGGTGGCAAGGCAACGAGTATTATTGAGAATAAATTTTTCTTTCACTATAGAAAAGTTAACACCAATTTTATTGACGATTTTAAAGTTTTGTAAGTAAAAATATTCTATGGCACATGTTGAGTATTGTACTATTGGGTCTTGATTGAGTCCTTATACAAAGCAAGGCGACCATAAATCTCGTCGCCTAAATCCGACCAGTTTGACATAGTACGTTGTCATAGAAGTAATGGAACACCTAAAATGGAAAATGGATCATGCAAGCATCTAGCCACATCCGAATCTGGCGCTCTTTTAGTGGAAGAAGCTTTTGTTGACTTCTAAGTAATAGTTCATTTAAATGATCAAATTATGTTTACTCGACAATACGAATCTGTTTAATGTTATAGTATATATTCGAAATTAGTTAAAAACCATCAGCTTGAATTGAATATATGAATCTACGGGATCTGAATTTGTGTTTACGCAAATCGAAGACAAACACAAAAGGTTAATAGAAAATGTGAAAAATTCTGATTTCCAACAAAAATTAAAACCAGCCTTCATAATTTTGGTTGAAAAATAATGCGTCAATCCCATGGAGCAGGGGTCGACAAACTGCGGTCCGCGAGCCAAATTCGACCCGTGAGCTAATTTGTTGCGCCCCCCAAACGACCCGACATTTGATACATAAAACAAAAATTGATCCTAAAATGATTATTGTCATTACACGGATTTATGTGGTAACAAGTGCTGCTGTACGGCGCTTGTTTTGTAATAAGTAGCGTCAGTTATGTGCCGTTTGGATAATTGATATTTAAAATTCAAAAATATCTGAGGAACAGCGACGAGGGTCGAACATTCCAAAGTGGTTGGACGGAAAAGATCTTTCTTGTGCAGTCAGCACCGCAGATAGGAATTGAATGTTGAACTCGTTACGAAACTTGTCACCGGAAATTCGACCGTGAGACTGCGCCACATCTCATCTGTGCGGCGGTACATAAAGTGTTATTCACTATCCAAAAAAACGCCACATACACATCTCATTGTGGCAGGCTTTCAACGCAGCAATAGAATGTGCAATGCGCTATAATTTGAAGTTAAATAAGGCGATTGTTCGAAGGCGTAAATATTGCGGCCCGCGCGCTACCGAAAAAGTTGATATTTGGCCCGCAAGCACATATAGTTTGCCGACCCTTGCCATAGAGTTTCATGAAAATTTTAAAACTATCACGTATGTGTGGGAAATGGGAATACTAGACAGATCTTCAGCTACTCAAAATACTTCGGCCACGAGTTAACAAACTTTTTGGCTTCGCAAGATAACAAAAACGTTGGCGTATACGGGCCTTCTAGTCCGGCAGATAAGGGGCCTTTTTGGGCCAACCTTGTTTTCAGACATAAAGTTTTTTTTATTTGTGATTATTCATCTTGGGGTTATTGTCCATCATTTCTACATGGGTGTGGAGTTTGCAGCCTTGAGCAATTTTTTTTACGGCACGATATTTGTATCAGTGTTTTTCATCAAATCTGTGCACCATAATGGCGCACAACCTGAAACATAACCTGTTACAATACTATGTTCAGGTTGTGCGCCATCTTGGTGCACAAACAACGGAAGCAGCAAATTTACTAGGAAATAAAAATCAATAACTTTTAGGTATTTTTTGAACCCAGCTTTGGGTCGCGACCCATATATATTTGTCAATACTGTTGTAACATACGCGTAAAATAAAGAGTACTATTCCAAAATACCTGCTCTTGTTGCAATTAACAATACAAGCCTGCTAATGCAGCCGGCAGTGGTTCAAGTGAATATACACCCGGTGGAGAACAGTCAATTATTTGCTAGCAAGAATTGTTATGCAGCGGGATGATCACGACGATGCAGTGAAAGATAATGCTATCACGAGAACAAGAATGAGAAAATTGCTACATTTTATAGTATATCCATGGGAAAAATTCAGCTACAACAAAAAATTCACGAAAACGGGTTTTAGATTTTATGATTTTCTCATTATTCTCGACAATGAATGATATATATGCGGGTGGTAAAATGCCGAGTTATTCCAACAACATGATCATGTTTTGCAACTTACAACCAATATTTTATATGTAGTTTTGCTTGACAGAGCCCCAAGGCCAAGAGATCTGAATACAAATATCAAAAATGTGAGGTCAAAAAAGTTACACTACAACATAGCCAAATGTGCTGTATTTACGATAGATAACAGGTTTACCAAAAAGCATTACATGAAAAATGGTAAAATAAAGATCAATTTAGCAATATCTACTTAGCATTTGGTGAAATGCATCTGTTGATGATTTTATCTGTTTGTTTCGGAAGTTTAATGGCAGAATTAGTTGTGGTTGTTGGGGATGTTTCAAAAAAAAGGTTGAATGGAAAAAAGGTTTGACAAAATGTCAAGGTTTGAGAGTAGTAAAGAAGTGGAAAAAATACTCCCATGTGTTCTTCATTTGATAACCACGCCACAGAACTTCTCCAATAAATATACGCAGCAATTGCGCGAGGCAGAAATGCCCAGATGGAATTTCCTCGTATTGCAAACCAATATTAGCTATTCTCAGATATATTCGCGCATTCCCATCTGAACAGCGTGGAAAAGATTATACCTATCTACACACTTGAAAAACTATGTCAGATGAGCGTCATATTATTGAATATCAGTAAAGGAATAGTGCAATGGGAAAAGACTTATATATAAGGCGTAACTTTCAGTAATATGCATCAAATAATCTTATTGCGGAATATATATTTAAAAACAATTCGTCGCGCCAACCGCAATTCCGAAACTTTTTGTCTCTGGCTGAGCTTAGATACCAATTGGCACTCATGTAAACTGGTAAGAGGCACGCGGTGGAGCAGATAATATGAGTATCCATCCCCCAGCTGTCATTTGAGTAGGTATACTGCTGTTTTTATTGCAGATGATACTGATTTTTTTGTATTAAAGATTTACTGGCATCACCGATTTAAGTATGTCAAGTAATGGATATAAATAAACCATTTGAAAACCAACACGCAGTATTACAAAACTTAGTTTCTACGGTTTGAATGAATAAAAAGGCTGAAACTAGTATTCTTTAAAACAGCATACAAATTCTATGGAATGAAATCATACACAAAAGCTCGTCAAAAACCTATAGCTCAATAAACGAGTGGAATTTGATGCATGTTCGCAAAAATGTGCGCGTTACTACGTACAACCGAAGCACGAAGGAAAATGTATGTGATGTACTAGTGATCAAAATGTTTGACTCAACTATGTTGGCATAACAGGTGCACATCTCGGTTTCGCATACGCATTTCTTCTATCTCCACAAGGATATATTAATTTGGCCAAAGTCAATGCTGCACCTGAAAGGTTCCGGTTATTCCAAAAGAAAACACGTTACACATCGTTAGATACCAGTGGATGGTTTTGCATGGCCTTGTTCGGAGTGAAAGACGAGGTCGAATATTCCAATCCATTTCAACTAATAAAATATTTCCTAAATCCCTAAGCTTTAAGAAGGAAAACGAAATGCCCGCAGCAACACAAATGTAGTTTGACGAGCGCAAAAGAAAGCCGCTAGATGCTGTCGATGGATCTTGGCTTATCTTAGTGAAATAAACTACCATTAATCTATATGAATTTCTGACATTGTAAGGAGATGCAATGTTACTATGTATTCAAAACTAACCCATGTGGTTATGAAATAATTGTTTTTAACGAAAAGGTGCTCCCGAAGTATTCGTACCAAGATGGCGCACAACCTGAACATTGCATGTGTACCAGGTTAGGATTCAGGTTGTGCGTCATCTTGGTACGTATACCTGAAATCCATTTAAAAAAAATTGCTCAACATTATATACTCCACATCCACCTGGGTATCATTATTTATGTCATCGACATTATATCTAAACAATAAAAAAAAACTTTATGTCCCAAAACAATGTTAAGGCCCGATTCTGCCGGACTATTCTTCAATTATCTGTTGAAAACACTCAAGTAAATTCAGGTGGTGTCAGAAATTGTTGCTTCGATTACCAGTATTGGAAAAACGTAATACCAGACTCCGACAATTTGGGAAATACAATTTATGTACATATTAAAGCACGCCCCACCTGGCCAGATAACTCGCAAGATAGGATTTTCGTATCCACCTCGGGGAGAGGAAAGCCGCTTACAACCCATTATTTGAGAGAAAAACAGACAAGTTATCGGATCCAACGTATGTATCAATACAGTTCCATTGGAAATTTTAGACGTTCATTCGGAGAGTAATTCTTCAAGCTATCGCTCACAAGCTGGTCAACAGGTTCATAATCATAGTTTTATTCGAAATACTCACCTGCCATTTAGAAGTACCGATACCTTATTTCAACCCCAGTATCACACAGACTTTTAGAAACTTATGTGAAAAAAAGTGCACATGTCGCTGCTAAAATTCTGATTATTACGTCACGGTTGACGGACTAACCAAGATAACAGAAGTAAACACGAAAATCGATACTCGGGAACCCATTCGTAAGATCTAGCTGGGATATTAAAAGGTTTAACAATGTAACAACGGTGCCGTGAAAATGTCTTCAGAAATATTTACCTAATCATTTATCAAATCATCAATCCTTTCTCCGAATTTGTAATACATAGCAATTAGGAAGTATTCAATTCAAACTAAGTATATTATTTCTCCATGCAATCAAGAAAGGTAACTTAGAGAAAAACCTAAAATATTATACAGGTGCATACCCACTCCTGAGCAAGGGGGGAAATAATAAAAACAAAGCATATCCCAATATTAATTATCTTCATGAACTTGCATAAAAATATTCCTACGCAGAATCAAACAAATGCGAAGAATTTGTTAAATAAATGGAGTACACATGGAAATATTAAACTAAAACATCAACAAAAGAGAAAAAAATCGAAAAACAAGAAAAGAAGTTTCGCTTCTCAAATACATGAAAAGGATTTTTGTCAGCGATAGATGAATAAAATTCATGTTATGGTAGTTAACATTATAATATGGTAAGCAACAGTACAGTATAAACGGAGTCAGATACCACCTATCAATGAGGAGTTGCTTTCTGAGTACTTCATCGTGGTGACAATTTTTAAAGTTGGAGATTTCAAAGCAATTTTGAAAAAAAAATATGTACAAAATGTTTTGAAAAATACTGTAACAAAAACATAGTACATGGTGGTGTATTTCACAACAAAGCTACAATTTATCGCATTGTGAGTCCGATTAAATTGATGTGACAAATTGTAACTATTAGAAATACGCTTGTTTGATTTCGATCTATATCTGAGACAAATAATGTAAGATCATGGCACAACTAGATAAATTACCTATTGTTTCCAGTTCACAAGTGTAAAAATGCCCCAAATATTTTCTAAAGTGTGGTGCGCATTCAAACACTCTGAAATGATTTTGTTGCCAGTTAAAAAATAGAAGATGCAAAAGTGTAAATCCACTGACATCCTGTTTCATAGAAAAATGATAGCAGCGCAACTTGACCAAATCAATTCAGTCCTTGGAACTTACATTGTAACAAAGCAGTAAAGTCCAGCAGACTACTTTTGACTACATTTGTACCTCGCAAATGTAGCATTGATTAAAAAATTTTCCTATATTAGAATCCTGTGTACTTGACTGTAATACAATTATAGTCATAGATTATAATTGTCGATGACCTACAATAATATGACAGCAGTGCCTTGCTAACAGAATAATCAGAATGACTGAAACATCAATGATTAAGAATTTTCTTTGTACCATTCAACAAATTCATCAATAAGAACTGGCCCTGTAAAAAATATCAAATTAAAAATAACAAAAAAGATTGAAGATAAGACTCATATGAATTGGATATGCTGGAAACCTTCAAAATTTGGCACAGCCTATTAGATTCATTATATCTGGATGAGGGAGATGCTAACCGGCCTATGATCACTGTGTCCATGAACTTCATGTTATACATAATATGGGCAAAAGCAATGAAAATGGAATCAAAACACTGCAAGGAATCCTAAGTGATTCAAGAGTCTTGCTGCCCACTGACACAAATTTATTTCTGTAACGTTTCGTCTGACTAAGGTCAGACTTCCTTAGACTTGCAAAGAATAGCTATGCTTTAATAATATTCAATATTTCAATGGCTTTTTTAAAAAAAAAACATGAGCCTACATTTTACAAAGTGATAATCATTCTATTAACATGAAGTGTAGAATATACCTAGGCAATCGAGTACCGTATGTTATATGCAATAAATGGTGAATTATCGTAAGTTCAGTTATACCAGTTTTCTCGAGAATAACAAAACAAACAGAGACTCACATGCTCCATCCACATCATAATTAGAAAAGTCAGGTTTGATCGCACGACTGAATTCTAAAACGTTATTCCATTGATCTCTGTTCAATGATTTATATCTCGATTTCTAAACAAAATTTGTAGACAGCTCAAAAGTAAGTTAACATGAAGGAAATGTTTGCACACTAGTACCTAATTCAAATGTCTATAATCCACTACAAATCAATCAGTACCGGTATTTTTCATGTTTATTTCAATTTAGTGGTTGAATGAGTCGACACCGCTTGTGAGAGAACTTGTACCAGATATGGAAACTGATGATGCTTTCCAAATTTCAAACAAATTCTATGAACAATCATGAATCAGATAAGATAACTGGCCAGTGCTGTTATCACTTATCGATCTTGATCGGTGAGTATGTTGATAGGTCTGTTTGTTTGTCTGTCTGTTAGATACACGCGATATCTCACGAAAGCGAGGTTGAATCTGCTCCAAATTTTGCATGTGCATTCATCATATCTCAGATCAGAAGCCTATTGATTTTGAATTAATTATGTCGTATGATTAGCGAGTTAATAATTAATTAGAGATGGGACACACGGTGTCACTATGAAGTAAGAATGAATCGAAACAGCAGTTTCTGTTTTGGGGGATCCCCTAACTTTCGATCAGTAAGTCTTCGGTCTCCGACTGATATTCTCGTTTACACATTAATAAATTTATTTTTAAAACAATGCCATATTTTGTTGTTTGACTTGAGTTGGGAGTCCCACTTGAATAATTATTTATTTAGGTACATGCCACCATGTGTGAGATGAGGTCAATTTAGCAGATTCCATTTTCGGACCATACTTGAAGCACCAATATACAAACCTCTAAAAAATCATAAAATTTTGAAAACATTGACCACTTTGATCCAAGAAGTAATTGCAACATTCCTTTTGCAACTTCGATATCAATGCATCTTTGATCAGGCTCCTAAAATTGTTAAATTATTTTACATTCATGGTTAACCCGTAGGGGGAATTTATTGAAAAAAAGTCACAAAGTTAACGAACTTACCCTTGCAAAATCAAACGCATATCTATAAATATTTTTAAATTCGGAAGGATCATTGAGAAGAGAACGTAAATAATCAAGTTTCGATTTCAATTTCTCTGCAGTGTCACATCTGAAATCGAAAAAAAAAATTGAAGTTGGATAAAAAAAAGGTATGTTCATGCGTGTAAAATATAAACAAATCAAACCAGGCTTAGAGCCGAAATCTCAAATTGGAGATTGGAGTTTGAAAAAATTTAATATTGAGAGATACAAAATCTAGATGAGTTTTGGATCCAGCCTATCAGTTAATTTGGTTTAAATCTAATCTAGAATAAGATTTGACACTTGACAGCAGAGTATTTGGAAATGGATCTTGTCGTATTATATTAAATGCATCTCAACTAAGATAAATTTCCACATTTGAAAAAAGTCATTGCTTCAAATATGGCACTTTTCGGTTACATATTTTTTTCTAACATGGGCGTCATTTCTAATTGCTAGCACTTCCATTAAAGCAAATTTGGATAAAAGTAGTCGGAAAAAGAATCCAGCAGCAAATTACTCACTGAATTCGTTTAAATTGGGTGTAACAATATATTCGAATTACAGTTTTAAGAAATTTATGCGTTATCTGCAGGGACCCCTAATGATGACGACATGAGATCAACAACAAAAAGACACTATTTTGTGCCTGCAACTAATAGAAAGCCTATGTTAAATAAAGGTGCGGCCCGTGGTTTTATCCAGTTATTGATATTTGGCCCGCCTGCGAAAAAAGGTTTCACACCCCTGGCATAAAGTATTTCATGAATTTTCAATAATAATGTGATATGGTACTTTATCGAACTGAGTATTCTGGAAGCTGCAACAACCGCACTGCATGCAAAAGTATGTCCATGTACACATTATAGTCAGGCATACTAAAATTTATTTTTGCTAATTGTTATGGATTTCGGCTATCATTATAGTACCCAGGGCACGCGATTATCAGAGACAAAAATGACCTTAGCTCAAGTTCATTAATGATTCTCAACAGAAAATTGAGCAAAGTTTGCGCCAAATATTTAGATTTTTTTTTTCAAAATGTGAGTGCAAAACCAAAATTATAATACATAATATAAAAAATTGCTTACTGCAGATTCCCCATTCCTTTTTCCCACTCGCCCTGAGTAAAATAGCCCATCTGTTTAGCGGCAAGTTGGTGAGCAAGCACTAACATAACAACGTTTTCTGGCTCTACAGAAATGTCCTCACAAAATTTTTCCATCCCTTCAGGATCAATGACATCATTCATTTCTTGAAAAGAACAGAAGAAATACTGAATACTGGAAAGAATGAAATGCTCACCTAACAAATCTGTTACAATTATTTACCGGAATATTCCTGGAACCACTTTAAACATTTTTTTGTGGAAAACGAAGATTGAGAGTGCGAGGATGTTTTTCCGTGAGATCTTGCACTAGCAGGCTGTCTCCTCTTTCCACTACCCATTAACAAATCACTGATGTTTCGCTGTCGATTCATATTACTGCATTAATAGATAGAAAAAAAAAGGTTAACCAAACAAAATGTTCAAGTATTAAAAATTTTATTTTTTTAGAATTTGATATTGGGATAGGATTTCCATGTTTATTTCAAAAGAGGGAAAAGACATAAAATGGCTTAATCATAATATGGCACAGCACAGCCATGGACTTGGTGGTGGGCGGGGGAAGCCGTAATCAACCGGCAGCAATCCTCTCACATGTGCCGTAAATATTCCCCAAAGGATTCAAAATGCGAACTAGTGCAGGATAATTAGTTGTAATGGTAAGGGTATTCCTAACACTTAGAACGATGTGCCATGTTGTCAAATATGCTTGTGCTTTGTGCATATGCTTATATGATACCAGATTTGCATATAAACCCTACACAGCATTGTTCAAGGTTTCAAGATAACCCTTTTTAGGTCCATCGAAATATTTTATTAGATTCATAAAAAAGGTCATAAAAATTTTTTAATAGAAATGGCAATAATAAATGGACAGAGCTATATTATTATACCAACTACAAACAGTAATCCTAAAATGGCCTTTAAAATACCAAATACCTGAGAAAAGTTATGGATACTTTTTGAATAACATAAACATAACGTTTGGGCAATAAAGAAAAAAAAGCAATCCCATTTACGATAAGTATGATGGAATAGCAAAATATTTTAATGAATGTCAGGCCCCGAAGAAAAAGTTGAACAAATGACTCATGGATATCGGACATGATATTATCGTTCACATCACGGGGATGGAGTAAATGAAATTTCAAAAACAATAAAAATTTGTTGCTATTTTTATTGGTGCATTTGTTTTTGGCTGACAAAATAAGAATATGTTATTATCTAAAATAAGGCGGACAAGATTAATTCTAACAAATGTTTTTATTTTTAATTAATAAGATCTTCGCCCCCTCAAAAAATTGTCTACGCCCCTTTACAGGGCGCGCGTCACCGTCAGAGAACCACTGTTCTAGAATATTAAACTCTGCGGATATATGGAGATCGCTAATTAACAATATACTCAAGACCTATTTATTTATGACTATTCACTTACATCAGACATATCAATTTATGTCATACGCCAGCTGAAAATATTATACAGGAAAGCTTCAAGAAAAATTTCCCCCTGGAGGAACTCCTATTTTCAATTTTGTAACAAAGAACTACCATGAATGGTATACAGCAAGAAATAACACTTGCATGGTCCATGGAGGTTAGAATGGGATGGGATGTGCCAAACTTGATCAGTTATAAATAGGCAAATATTTGATCAAGTTTTAAAGACTATTTGTTTGATCAGAAAGGTATCTCACAGTTTAATTAGCAAACAGAACTGAGAATTTGACTCTGCATCTCAATAACTATACAGTGGCAGTATTCCAAATCATTTTTTACATAATATATTTCCATGAACTCATTAAGCCTCCTAATTAGGCCTATGACGGGAAAACATAGTCAGCCTCTATATTTGCCATACAATTACAAATCCCAACTGATCAAAAAATAATAAAATATATTACATTTTCCATAAAAACATTCTACCTCATAAAGGATTATTTCTAAAACTGATATGAAGACTGCCTGAACATAAAATGACACCAGTTCAAGTCTAGACAATATTACAAAGTTCCGCTGTTGTTAAGTAACTATGGTATTATATTGTGACATTTAAGCTGAAATATTACCTGTAATCAGTTGGGCATATGTTTGTTAATGAAACTGCCAGACTAATGATAATATAAGCTTTCTTAGAATAGAATTATTTTAATTTACCAAAAATACTTGAGTCAAAATCGCCATCTTAAACTATGTCTGTTCAACTTATTATCATTGCTGGTAAACTAGCAAGCAAATCTAATATAAATCCCAGCAGTCTTAGTTATTGGACTACCAAGAAACACTATCTTTCTCATTGAATGATTCAGACAGCGAAATTGATGAATTATATGTGAAATGACTACCCAGAAATGTCCAGTCATACTAATGTGTTTCATTAGTCTTTGGCTATATTGATACAGATCAATAACTGCATTGGCTCTTTTATTTCACATAATTAAATAAATTGGTCTTCAAATTTATAACACTTATTCCAAATAGGAAACAGCTTTTATGTCGTTAAATGTTAGAACTCTTATTATGCCCACTTTTCGACTGTAAAATACAGATAAAAAGACACTTCTGGCTTGAAATAGGTCGATTAAAAATCACAACAATTTGATAATTACAAATTTGTTTCGTTTGCTTGTATAGGCCTTATTCAAAGTGAAAGACATATTTAAGCATGAAAGCACCATATTATAACAAATTTTAACAAAAAAGCACCGATACCTTGATCTTGACTTTTTAGCTGTTGATTCTCCACAGTTAGTCGAATTTTTTCGTTTTTTGTTTACTGAAGGCATTATATTACCAACATTTCTAAATACTATTGTTAATTATGTTATAAAGAATACAAGAAAATATGTTAGAATAGTAAGCTTTGAATAGACAAGTAGAAGACAAAAGCGGCTTTTTATTGAAACATTACACAAAGCTTTATGAAATCATTAACTTCATCATATTAAAATTGTGACAAAAGTACAGTAAATAAAATCTTCTAGTTAGTATGACGAAAAGTTACCATAATATGAAGACAGTATAAGGTGCATATTTAAAAATAATATTTCTCGGATATAAATCCATAAAATGGAAGAAATTAGCTCCTGCAATTATTTATTTGGAGGATGAATTAGAATTTATTACGGCAAATCTCCTGGACAAGAAAAGTTAGCAGATATAATGGTATATTATTGTTGTAACAAAGTGTCTGTGGATGGCTGACATTGGTCAGACAAAATGTTACAAAAAATAAAATTGTCCATAGATTTCTGATTTAGAAAATGGGCATTGTTGATCTTATGTGCCAAACAGGGTTTTTGGGAACTTTTTGGGTGAAACATACATCTCAAACAGAGAAGAACAATGATATCTACAAAAAAGCAATTCTAAAATCTTTCTCCTATTGCTACACATTTCACTTTACTTCATGTAATACTTGTACGAATATATACTCTCCATAATACTTTAAAAAAAAAACATGTTTCCACTGTTCGAGGATTTCAAGACAAAAGGGAAAATCTAATAATAATTTGAAGCAAAATTCATGGAAGTAATTCAATAAAAAGTTATAACAGTTTAAAAATAAAAAATATACGTTATCATTATCATCATTTTCTCAAAATGAATTTTTCAAGTTTCGCACTTACTGTCTCAAAAACTCAGATCACTATAATATGTCAAAATTTAAACTTCACATGAGAAATGTATACCACATGGTTAGGTAACTACAATGACATCAATGAAATTAATTTGCGCAATGGCATAACAGCAATTCCATAAATTAGTTGAAAATTTAGCAAAAGTTAAATCTTCGCTAATTGAAATATTAAACTGCAGGAGGTATAGGACATACAGACATATAGGACAAGTATTCAAAATCGCATGAGAAGGTACCGATTAGACTCAAAATCATTGTTTTTTAATCAATGGAATAATTGATGGTTTTCTGTCTAATTTTCATTAGTTTCATATCATAAACTCTTATGCTATTTATGTTAACTTAAAATGTATTTGGTCAACCAAAGTATGTGATAAATTTTACTTCTGATATCCTGTGTTTGATATAAATATTGTAAAATGCTCCATTGGACACACTGGGCTAAACAGAGCTGATGGAAATTTGCCTTATATTGTCAACTTGACGATTTTTTAACTTTTTTTTCAATTATCTGATATATTTCAATACCTACGGTAGGTATTTGCAACAAAACTGAGATGTCGCTTTAGGGGTTAGGCCCAATAATTTACCAATTTGACAGTTGATAGTTGCTTGTTGTTTTTTACGCAGTGCTCCGATAAATCTCGTCACTCCGTGGCATTACGGAGTGACAAAATTCTCAGATTTTTATCAAAATTATTTTCCTGTATAGGAAGTATTATAATATTGCGTTTAAACTGTAAAATCTTCTTTGTCCATTTTTCAGGACAACCTGTAAGATGCGAAAAATCATGAAATGTAAAAGAAACCTGATGTGCTTGTCAAGAATTGAAGATTGTTACAGTTAGAAAATGCCAGTGCATCACTCATTGACACCAATAAATATTTTCAAATATTCTCTGTTTCAGAACATTTTCACAAATAAAAATATGATATGTAAAATTATAATGCTTCATGTCTGTTATTTTAAAAATTATCACAAATTTAGGAAGCTAGAAATTTAAAATAAGCGCATTTAAGATAACAAGCAAGTCAAATAGGGGTCTAGAATGGCATTTTTGTAGTAAAAACACAATCACATTTATTATCTTGAAAACCGTAAGTCAGACTGTGAGCTGTGGTCTGTAACACAGGAAAATTTATATTAATCTGAAAATGGACATATTTCTGAATAAACAGGAATATGGAATGATTTTTATCAAGTTTTGAGTAACAACTGAACAATGTTAAATTTGTTGCGGCAAACGAGGTGGTGGCTTCGACGGAGGAGATGATATTGTATCAATTCGTTGAGCTCTATCAAGTTGTATTCCAACCGGTGTCCATTCTTCATTTCTTATAGCAGCAACAAGGTAGATTATACTGGCGGATAACAGGCAGAAGGCACCAAAGAAGGTTGGAACAATAACTCCAGCTGGCAGACAAACCAGAAATAGAACAAGTGCACGGATATAGTAGCTTCTGGTGAACTTGTACATTTTATGATTAATTTTGGTGAAAATTTCTTGATGACTTCGGGTAACAGTGTTCCCTTTGTTTTTCTTCCCTCGTGGATATTCCAACATCACAACCAGTAATCCAAAAACTAAACTATATATTCCAAACGGAAGCCAGTATTGAAATTCCTCTACGGCTCCACCTATAATCCCAACAATTCCACCTAATACGACTATCCAGGCACCCATGAGTGCAGTCTCATTTGCCCACATTGACCATTGAATACTTCTTTGTTTTTCTTGTGGTCTTGGAGCCATAGGTATTACAAGAAATAACAGAATTATATGATCTGCAAGAAGAATAATGGGTGCATGATCACTAAATGTGGTAAGTCTGTAAGTTCTTCTAGTTGGCCTGGCATAAACAGTTTTGCATGCGTTATTCCTCACCCCCACCTGACTACATCACAATCACATCATAAAGCAGTAACGCTTGCAAAAGAGTAGCTACGATCGCTCGAAATGGCATCTCTGCCGACGATAACGAACTCGCTAATGCCAGCGATCTCTCCCATATCTGGATCGTTGAGAGGAAAAATAGCTTGTTTGATTTCGGGTGATCGTCAGCACGTTTTGGAGGACAATCCGTATACTTTGATGACATGGCTTATTTCGTCACTGTGACGTTGTAATGAAGTAGTCAAGTGGAAGTTAGAAATGACATACCGGTATGTAGGCTAGTTATGCGAAAATGGTTATGCAACCCCAATTAGAAGTACCGGTACCCGTACTTGACGACGATTAGTGAACTATAATATTAACAAATAGGATAGGATTTACATATTTATCCCGGGGGAGAGGAAAGCCGATAAGACGGCTTATTCATATGGCGAACCACGACCTCTCGTCCGGTTACCATTCCAAGTCGGGTACGGTATGGGATTAGTGATATTGTTCGTTTTCGGAAGCATGGACTTGGTGGTGGAGGAAGCCGTAACCGACCAGCGGTTACGTGAACCGCCCAACGACGACGAGGAGTCCAGCAATCCTCTAGCACATAACCATCCCTGCATGGGATTCGAACCCACGCAGAGTAATTAGAGGTGCGGTGGCGAGCGTATTCCTAACGCTTAGCCCATTGCTGCATTGAGCCACACCGCCGCGCTGTTCTTCGTGTTCTTGTAATGCTCTAATCCTTTATGTCCGAAGGGCAAGGATTTCTATTACGAGCTAAATTCATCAGTAGGCTAGTCAGTTTGTTCAGCCATACCGCTGTACCGGTACCGTACCGATGCTCGAGAGGCAGACAACTCGACTACCGTACCGGTACCGTACAGAGCAATGGGAGGCAGACAACTCACCAGTCGAGCAATCGCTCTGCAAAGTTACGCTGTCGATGCTCGGGAGCAATACAACTCGACTAGGATTAGGATAGGATTTACATGTTTATCCAGGGGCAAAGGAAAGCCGATAAGACGGCTTAACCAAATGGCGAAGTTACCGGTACCCTAGGCCTAGAAGACATCTCTCGTTTATGAACGCGCCGATCACCGTTGCTAGAACTCAGATTTCAATTGAGCGATGCGAGAGTTTACGAAGAAAGAAACGATGCAAAATCAGCTGATGCTTTATGCCTTGCCAGATTAATCATAAAAACTGTGAATATTTGTCAAAAAATCATAGTTCTACCCCAAATATAAGTGTCAACTTATGAAAAAAATGGCGGAATGAACTATTTTGCCCCCCAAAATGGGTGTTTTACAATTACGGTCCCCACATTTACAAAATACCAGTTGTATTACATATAATAAAGTAATACAGCAAGTTTGAATGTATGGTGGGAAGATATTTTTAATATTGCTTAAAATGGCCGATAGTCAATTTATGATAGAAACGGCAAAAAAAACTATTTCACCCCAAAAAATGAGTGTCTTGCAATTACGGTCCCCCCATTTATACAAGACCAGCAGTAGTACTTACAATAAAATGTTTATACAGCGAGTTTGAAAAAGTTTGTATGGGGGGAAGATGCTTTAATTATTGTTTGAACATGGCCCGATAGTCAGTTCATGATAAAAATGGCAAAAAGACGTATTTTGCCTCAAAAAATGAGTATTACATTTACTAAATAGTTACCTGCCATCCTCAAAAAAAGCAAATCCCCATTTGCTGTTGCAACGTTTGTTACGAATCGGCACAACATTGCAAATATTTCGAACTTTTTGTCACAATTCCGTTCTGATGTTTCCAAATTGATCAAACGATTTCCCGCAAAAGTTTTTATATATGATGGTAGTATGGCCCTCATTAAAGCGATAATTCAAGTAAACATGCGCGAAAGTTTAGAGGCCCACATACCACGCTGTTATTCTGTCATTCAAGGTTGTGCAAATTCGGATATGCTTTTCCGACCCTTTCTTCACCTATGCACCAGCCATACCACGAAAAAAGCAATTGGCGTGTAGGGTTCCAAAAGTAAAGCGGGAATTCATGCATATATTTGGGTTGCTTGTTTGCTGCAAGAAAATTAAAAAACTTCGTAAAATTATTTATCATTTGACAATATTATTGATATCCCTGAATTCGAATCTTGTTGATAATAGCTGGTCGTACTTGAAAAAGCGTATCGAAAAACAAAATATTCCACCCCCACCCGAATGTGTTTTCGATCATGAAGCATCGGGTGAACTTTTACCAGATGCAGACTGAAGTCAGAGTAATCCTTTTGCCGAATTGCTATATCTGGATATTGCTAGAGCTACAAAAATTGCTACTGACGCGGGTTTATGTGGTCCTAAATATTTTTTTTTGTCCGGAAGTAATGACTAAATAAGCATTTTTACGCAAAGTCAATGAAGACAGCCGGGGTGACTTTAAATGTAGGCCTATGTAGTAAAATCGGAAACGGTAAGATTTCAGGATCACAGCTAAGGGGCCGTGTCTTTGGAGGCGTCCCGCTTTGAAGTCAAAATATATGTTAACCCTACATTATATGAAATCTGAACTCGGCGATAGCAGAGCTGTAATCTCGGCTTGCGCTTTCGCTATCACCGATCTTGAACCTTATCGTGTACACGGAAAAGGTACATGTATGGGGGGTTTTCACAGACGGAGGGTTATCTGCTGAATCCCGTCTTCGAAGAGAGAGATATTTATTGTTTTGTCGACCAGAAAACAAGCAATGGTACAAAAAATATATACGAAATATACAAGTTTATTCGGTTTAGACAGGGAGAATCGATACGACCATAATGTCATCAGAGTCATCAGACTCCTCCAAATTCACTATTAAGGTTCACAGTTAATGTATAAAAACAATGTATAAAAGATACTTGTTGGAGGCGCCCAAAGATGTGCCACAGTATTGCAAAGAGTAAGTATATAACAAATGTTCATAGCAAAATGAAAAATCAAATGAAATTCCTTATTCGTAGCAAAAAACGGAATCCCATACTGTATTCATATTTCGAAACAGTTTCTTTGCCAGGTGCATCGACAGTGCCCATACTGCCTTTGAGTATCGATGTCGTAACTTTGAAGAGCAAATACTCGACTGGTGAGTTTTCTGCCTCTCATTGCTCCGTAGTCGAGTTGTCTGCCTCCCGAGCATGAATATCGTGACCAAGTGTTGCCAACTTGCATTATTTTAATCTAGATTTAGATTATTATCGTATAATTTAGATGTAATAAATAGCCATTTAGATGTTAGAGACTATTTTCTAGATTATTTTAGCATTCATTTAGTTTCAGATATATTTAGATTATTTTGAAAAATGTTATTTTGCATTCTTCTCGCGGCAAAGAGATGAAGTGCATTTTAATGCTTTTTTGTCGGATTTTGACACCGACCACTCACTAGTACTACATGTGAGGTAAAAATAACTGTCATTCTCTCTTTTCCGGTCGCTGCGCTGGCAGCCGGTCGTGTTTTCAAAGTGATGTAATCTGTTATGTTATGCTAATATGTTTGATATTGGAGTAGTCCGGCAGATAAGGCGGCCTTTTGGGCCCAACCTTGTTTTCAGACATAAAGTTTTTTTTATTTGTGATTATTCATCTTGGGGTCATTGCCTATCATTTCTACATGGGTGTGGAGTTTGCAGCCTTGAGAATTTTTTTTTACGACTTGATATTTGTATTAGTGTTTTTCGTCAAATTTGTGCACCATAATGGCGCACAACCTGAACCCTAACCTGTTACTATACTATGTTCAGGTTGTGCGCTATCTTGGTGCATGAACTACTGAAGCACCAAATTTACTAGGAAATAAAATCAATAACTTTTAGGGTATTTGTTGAACCTAGCTTCGGTCGCGACACATATGTATATATATATATATGGAAATACTGGTGAAAGATACGCGTAAAATACGCGAGTACTATTTCAAAATACCCGACTTTGTTGCAATTAACAATACAAGCCTGCTAATGCAGTCGGCAGTGGTTCAAGTGGTTACACACCCGGTGGAGAACAGTCAATTATTTGTTAGCAAGGATTGTTATGCAGCGGGATGATCACGGCGATGCAGTGAAAGATAATGCTATCACGAGAACAAGAATGAGAAAATTGCTACATTTAATAGTGTATCCCTGGGAAAGAATGTAGTTCATTCTAATGTTCCATGCCAATGCTCTTCAAAGTACCAAAGACTCTCAACACTTTTGCTTCTTCTCTTCTATAAAAATACATTGCTATTATATATTCGCATTTCCATCTGTTTGTTCGTGCTCCCAGATAACCGATCAGTAGCCTTCAAAAAGGCCGGGGTCCCCTTTTAAGAAACCCTGTCATAAACTAAAAGAGGCGACCGTGCTTTTCTTGCCTGTTGTCATGCTGTCCCTCGAATTCAGCTAAAACAAAAAATTCACGAAAACGGGTTTTAAATTTTATGATTTTATTAATATTCTCGACAATGAATGATATACGGGTGGTAAAATGCCAAGGTATTCCAACAACATGATCATGTTTTGCAACTCACAACCAGTATTTTGTATGTAACTTTGTCTGGCAGAGCCGCAAGTGATCTAACTACAAATATCAAAAATGTGAGGCCAAAAAAGTTACAATTCAGTATCAATTCAGCAATATCTACTTAGGACTTGGTGATATGCATTTTATGTGTTTGTTTCGGAAGTTTATTGACAGAATTAATTGTGGTTGTTGAGGATGTTTCAAAAAACGGTTGAATGAAAATTTTTTTTCACAAAATGTCAAGGTTTGAGAGTACCAAACCACGCCACAGAACTTCTCCGTTAAATATACGCAGAAATTGCGAGAGGTATAAATGCCAAGATGGGATTTCATCGCATTGCAAACAAATATTAGTGATTCTTAGATATATATATTTATTCGCGCATTCCCATCTGAACAGCGTGGAAAAAGAATATACCTATCTACA